TTTCCCACTTTCCCCTGTACACAATGTTACACGATATATCTGGGCAAATGACATCATTTCACTCAACATTGCTCCTGGGGGAGGGTGGAGTGGGGATTTTAGAATTTTTCCTGAATGCACGAATTGTATACTTTGTTCAGGATTGTAGATTTGTTACGATTTTGCTAAATAATTTTCTCTCTTTAAAGCTTCTTTGCTTTTCTGCTTCAAAGCTTCTTTGCTTTGATATTCTTTGTTGCATGCATAGCCATAACGATAAGCCCGCCAGAAGAACTTATTTATACGATCTAAAAATTTGTTTTGGAAAATTGTAGTGCAGAGCTCCACACATCAATGCAGTAATAAAAGAGTGTCATGATTAACGAGTAACAATATTACCATGATAGAGTCTCCACCATCGTTCAGCCACCTAAAGGTCGACACAGACCGGACGCGAATTGTCAACGCGGCGCGAATTTTCAACGTTTTTAATTTTTCAAAATCAAATAAATTTTAAACTATCATAATATTCATGTAGATTACATAACAATAAAACATTTGGACTGCTCTAGCGTCCATAGTTTCCAAATTTTACTTCCAGAATTTAACTTATATGCTTCCAAAAACTCAAAATTCGCGTCGCGTTGCCGCATCGCGTCCGGTCTGTGGCGGCCTTAAGGCTTATGATGTAAGCACATAATTAGAGAGCATCATTGATTTACGCGGAATTTTTATGAGTGCTTAATACAGACTCTGTATAGGCACTAATAAACCTGTAGCCTAGAAGTGCATTTAGTTGAGCCTATGTACAGATCAGACACGATTTTCTGCAGATTTTTAATTTTTTTCCAGCATATAAATTTTGTCATAAGATTCAGTTTGATACCTTCAATGACTGCTTTTATGACCATTAGTCGGCTGGTTTTCATTGCCCGAAAAGAAATTCGGGAAGTGTTTATTCGAGTTATATTCCTTATGAAATCCCACTCCTGACACCATATTTCGACAGACGCCATTTTATATTTACATTTGAACACATGTTCACTGATCCCAAACCTTTAACTGGATGCATAACAAATTCATTTCATTTCATTTCAAGTCGTTTCATTTTGAGAATCATATTTAGTTTTGTCATTGAATAATTCCGATTAATAAATGAGCCTAGAAGCTATCCTGAAATCCAGGGGTGGCGGGCCTTTTTTAGCGGCGGCGGGCAAGGAGGGCTGCATTAAAATATTAATTTTGTATGTACAATACAGAAGATGGTTATGTTGCTTTTTGTTTCTTTCAGTTCTGTGGTTAGGACATTTGCTGAATGGATGAAGCAGCTTCAGCAGCCGGAGACGCTCTGCGTATTGTAGCAACTGGCGGGATATTTCGGATAGAAATTAGCACTTGCAAAGTAGAAGTGGCAGGAAAGTTGTGTGATGTAGCACGAGAAGTGGGCAACACAGTGGGGCATGGAGTGGGACAGGGATTGGGGCAGGGATTGGGACTAGGAGTCGGACTAGGAATTGGAGTAGGAGTTGGAATAGGTCTAAGTCTAGGTGCCCTGTATTTTGGTTTTCCAGCATTGAAGCCAATAATTGATGATGCAATTACTAAGGGCGTTGGTGGCGAACGCGATGATCAAGACGTTCGTGACATTCGAAAAGGAAGTTTGCGTTTCGAGTTACATTGTTTCACAGACATCAGGTTTCTGGAAGTCTTGGCGGATTACGAATCAGGAAGGATGAAGGAACGCTTGCAGGAAGAACTTTCTGTGGTTGGAATTATAGTGGAAGGACTGAAGGTGAAGATTGAAAATATGGAGGAAGTGAATGAAAAAAGGAAAGCTAATTGGAGGTATATGATAGGTTTATATTATTAGAAATTTAGAAAGATATCTTCATATTATTCGGCATTGCAGAGAGCATAGGCTGCATAGAAGTGGCGTAGCCAGAACGATAATTGGGCCAATATTGATATATTCATGTTACGTATGATTAATTTATTATCAAGTCCATTACCTTCAGATCTGTTAACCTGAGTATATGAATATGGCCTCCTCATTATCGACGCTGGCCACGCCACTAAAACATAGATTTATCGTCTTCACCGCTGCCTTTCGAAAAACGGGGCGAAGGCAAAACAGAATCACGCTCCCACCCGGCCTGGTTCAAGCTGGTCATGTGATTCGTTTGTTACGTTTCTCCCGTGTGGGGATGAGTGGAATACAAGTAGCGCATCAATCACAACTCATTAAAACAGGTGTGTTCTTAGGTCTGTAATACTATCGAGCTCATATCGAGCACACCTGTTTCGACGCAATAGCAGATAAAATGGAACGAGGATCTAAAGTTATGATATTTCGGAAAATTTTTTAGATAGGATGTGCTGCCGGTTTTACAACAGGTCATGGGAAATTGCTAATGTAGCAGGTTCTACCGGTGCTGTTGTACTGCAAAGCGAAACCACCTTAATAAACCTTTAAAAGTCGAAATGAACCGTTAAAAGTCGCAATAAACCGTTAAAAGTCCTAACCACATTCACCTTTCCCTCTAATGCATTGAAAAAATTACAAATATGTTCCATATTTATGAAATATAAATATTTCATCAAAACTTTGCACAACATTTTTCAATGACGTTTTGAAAATACTAATTTTTGTCTTAACGAATCAAGAGCTTAGCAGTTCGCAATGGCGCATGCGCATAACCTAGAAGACCGTCCATGACTTGAGTTTAATAATAGCGGACGAGGGTGTAAATATCCAAGTGGAATTAGTACCCTGACCCACTCTTAAGAAATCTCCCAAATTTCGGGAGATTTTGCGTTGTAACAGGCAGCCTGAAACAGGGTTTTCGTTGTAGCGTAGGCCGTGTGAGGCTTAGATAGAAAAGCCTGGAGAGATTGAACCCAACGTTAAAGGGGTATAGCAATACAAATTATTTTTGTTTTGTTGAAAAGGAAATTTACACTTCTTATAGATCCTTTTTACAAAATTTGTTTATTTTCCTTACTTAGCAAGATATTGGCGATCAAAAGCATCGACTATCGAGATATATCCTCCACCTTGTTTTATAATGAGATCTAATTACGTGACGCAAAAAGCTGAATTGATCATGACGCTTAAGAATAACAACTACATGTTTACGCCTTTGTTTTGAACTCTAACAATTTAAACGCTATAATTTGAGCTACGCGAGAATTTAATACCATGAGACTATCGCTTCGCTGAATCGTTAACTTGAGGTTACAAAGCGAATTTTCACCCAGGTTATTACGTCATACATATCCGACCAAGGGTATGCATATCCAAAATGGCGAATGGAAGACAATTTCATTTGAAAATAACTTCAGAATAAAGTTTGTAAATATTTTGAAAAGTTTGTAAATATTCATGACGTTCTTTCAAAATAGACGAAGATAATTTTTATCACCGTATCCCTCTAATGCACTAAGTCTTTGTTTAAGCTTATTAGTCCGGCGTCAGTGACGTAGTTGAAAGTTCGCCTGGGTTTGTTGTTGTTTTTAATTTTTTTCGTTGTCGCAAGTGTGTTTTGGCCCGAAATATACTAGTATTTGAAAGGTGTATGTGAGTAATGTGACCGTATTTAACTACATCACAGTTTTATCTCCCAACAGTTATGGTGCACAGCTCGAAATCTTTGGCTAATTGTTCGATGCGCAATTTGATTTCGCTCGCATTATACGGCAATTCCTCCAAGATTCCTACCATGCAGTTTATTTACATTTTTGAACAATTGAACTCCTATACTTTTTAAAGTACGATGTGCTTCTGAATGTCGAGATCGAACAACATAGGTTCGCAGTGCATCTAAATGAGTATGAACATTGTTTATGTTCAAAAGCTTCAAGCTTTATATTACACGAAGACTGGCACGTGCAAAGCACGCCGGGGTTAACGCCCCTGAGAACAGGCGTCTTGTTTACATTCGATTTGGCAGATGAAGTTAATTGTGTTTTTGTTGTGTTTCTTTTATGTTGCACAGTCGCAACTTGTTAAAAAGCAACAACCAAATGGAACTGACCTAGATTAAAAGCTAGGAAAGCATAGAAATTTCGAACAATGCACAGAGTGAATGAGCAAATGCCTTTCTTACAATATCCTTCTATGTACATTAATACAAGCATCATTATTTTGTTGCAAAATACAGATCTTATTTCAAGAGAGTGCATGGCGAGATGACGAGCAATGTCATGAGGGAGCTTAGCGAGATGATGAGTGATATCAGTATGGATGCTGTTGATAGTGAGGGGTTAAAATATCTTCAGGTAAATATATCTTCTGAGAAAAACAACAAAAAGGTAACAGATCTTTTAGCGCACAATGCGTGACGGTAATCGAATATCTAAGTCTTTCTGCGATATCACGGTGTTCAAAAGCGATTTGGTTTAAAAGGAAGTCTTGCTAAATTACGTCACTCCCGAAAATAGCGGTATCATAAAGTTTCCTATCCATCAAACAAAACAATGTAAACAACACGATAAAACCGAAACAAACTACGACTTAAATTTCTGAAAACCTTCTGTGAACGGGTACGCGAATGAACCAAAGTAAAAACATAATCAAATTTTTCTTTGCTCAGATTTTTTATGCCTATTTTTCATGCACCTGCTAGAATTCCATCGATCTATTTGCCGTAATTCGAGATACTTTGTTCTTTATAACATTATTCACATTTTTATTGGTTGATGCTTGGTTTGTATATTCCTTTTAAGGAATTTTGCAAAAGTCGAGTTATAAACTGTCCTGTTCAACTGCATGACAACCCACAAAACTGACACTTTTCCAATAATCTGTTGTGTTTTGTTGAGCTAAGTCAATATTAGTTCAAGGTCGAGATAAATATACGGTACCTTGAATTTTTTTCCATACCCCAGGCGCGGTATTTCTCATCCGGACCTCGCGCCTGGTAAATGACGTTTATATACGTACATTTGAAAATTTCTAGAGGGAAACAAATAATGCTGACACAGCCGAAAGCCTCTACGAAAATGGGGTCCCACGAGACGAGATGAAAGTTTACAAGTCAACTTTAGAGTCGCATCGTGAAGCTCTGAAAGTCAGTTTGGAACAGCATGGAGAGGATCATCCTGCAACAGCTGACATTTACTACAACATTGGAATGACACAACAAAAAATGAAAGATTTCAAATCTGCATTAGAGTCGGTAAAAAAGTCTCTTGCGATCAGAACCAAACTATTTGGAGATGACCATCAAGACACAGCTAACAGTTATCACAGCATTGGGGTAACACAACATAAAATGAAAGATTACAAGCCAGCATTGGAATCAAAACAAAAAGCTTTTGAAATTAGATCACGGCTATATGGAGAAGACCATCCAGACACAGCTGACAGTTATTATAACATCGGAAAAACACAACATAAGATGAGAAATTACAAATTAGCATTAGAGTCAAAAGAGAAAGCTCTTAAGGCCAGGTGGAAATTATTTGGAGAAAATCATCCTGCAACAGCTGAAAGTTATAAAAGCATTGGAGACACACAAGATGAGTTAGGAGATTACACGTCAGCATTGGAGTCGAAACAAAAAGCTCTTGATATCAGATTAAAATTATACGGAGAAGATCATCCTGACACAGCTGACAGTTATAACAACATAGCAATAACATATCATTCTATGAAAGATTACAAGTCAACATTAGCATCAGAAGAAAAAGCTCTTCAAATCAGATTAAAGCTATATGGAGAAGATCATCCCGACACAGCTGACAGCTATGGGAGCATTGGAGGCACGCAAAGGTCAATTGGAGATTGCAAGAAAGCATTGGAGTTGGGAAAAAAGTCTCTTAAAATTACTTTAAAACTGTTTGGAGAATACCATGCTGACACAGCGGACAACTACCACAGCATTGGAATAACACAAGATGAAATGGGAGATTACAAGTTTGCATTAGAATTGAAGAAAAAAGCTCTTGAGATCAAATTGAAGCTCTATGGAGAAGATCATCCTGAGACAGTTGAAAATTATATCAGCATTGGAATGACACAGAGTAAGATGGAAGATTATAAATCTGCATTATCATCGGGAGAAAAAGCACTTGAAATTGGAAAAAAACATTTTGGAGAAGATGTTTCACTCACAGCTCTCATTCATAATTTTATTGGAATTATGAAAAACATGATGGAAGATTACAAGTCAGCATTAAAATCGGATCAAGAAGCTCTTCAAATGAGATTGAAACAATATGGAGTAGAACATTCTATGACTGCCCTCAGTTATGTCAGGATTGGGGAGACACAGCATGCAATGGGAGATTACAAATCAGCATTAGCGTCCAAGCACAAAGCTCTTCAAATAAGAATAAATCTATATGGAGAGATTCATCCTGACACAGCTGACAGTTATCACAGCATTGGTGAAACACAACACGAGTTGAAAGATTACGATTCAGCATTAAAATCAAAGAAAAAAGCTCTTCAAATCAGATTAGAAATATATGGTGAAGATCATCCTAAAATAGCTGAAAGTTATTATAAGATTGGAATTACATACATGGAGATGAAAGATTACAAATCCGCATTGGAGGCGGAGGAAAAAGTTCATGAAATCAAGTCAAAACAGGATGGAGAAGATCAATCCGACACAGCTGACCATCATTTGAACATTGGAATCCTACAATTTATGATGGGAGATCACAAGTTAGCATTAGAGTCGGGACAGAAATCGCTTAAGATCAGAAAAGAACATAACGAATATCATTCTGATACAGCTAAAAATTATGAATTCATTGGAACCATACAAAAAGAGATGAAAGATTACAAGTCAGCATTAGAGTCAGAAGAAGAAGCCCTTAAAATCAGATCATACCTGTATGGAGAATACCACGATGCGACAGCCAGGAGTTATCACAACATTGGAGTTATTCAGCATTGGATGGAGAATTACAAGTTAGCATTAAAATCAAAATTAAAAGCTCTTAAAATCCGAGAAAAACTACACGGAGAAGATCATCCCGATACAGACAAGAGTTATGACAGCCTTGGAATCACCTATCACATGCTGGGAGATTACAAGTTAGCATTGAAGGCAGAACAAAAAGCTCTTGAAATCCGAGAAAAAAGAGGTGGTGAAGAAGATTTCTCTGACACATCTATTAATCATGTCAACATTGCGATTATACAACATAGAATGGGAGAATATAAGTCTGCATTAAATTCAGGAAATAAAGCTCTTGTTATTAGATTAAAAAATGAAAAAGATGATCCCATCACAGCTGATATTTATAACTTCATTGGAATCGTACAAAGAGATATGGAAGATTATAAGTCGGCATCAGTGTCCGAAGAAAAAGCTCTCGAAATCAGATTAAAACATGAAGACGATTCCGACACAGCTTTCAGCTATCACATGATTGGGGAGACAAAACGTGAAATGGGAGAGTACAGCCTCGCATTACAGTCGGATAAAAAAGCTCTTGAAATTCGATTAAAACTATATGGAGAATATCACCCTTGCATAGCTGACAGTTATAGCCGCATTGCAATCACACAGCTTGCGATGGGAGATTACAAGTCTGCATTAGATTCGAAGAAAAAAGACCTCGAGATGAGATTGAAGCTACCTGGGAAAGATGATTCTGATGACATAGATGAGATTTATGCGAGGCTTTTGAGTCTGGAAAATGAGATAGAAGATTTCAAATTAGAATTGGTCGCGAAAGTTCTTCAAGAAATACTTGAAGAAGACCACTCTGATACGACTGAAACGTTTCTGAAGCACTGGAATTACACAACACGAGATAGAGGAACTCCATCCAGCATTATAGGTTATTGAGCAAATTAAAAATGCAATGAAAGCCTAGATGGGAATTTGAAAGTAATTTAAAATTAATAATGCTATATAAAATTACATAAAACGTAAGCTTGTTTAGGACAAAAATCCAAAATTGCGCTTAGACCTAATTTGCATTGTTTGATGCAGTCACACTTCTAGGATTCGTTAAAACATTTCTTAGGTCAAGTTACACTTTATTAAACGTTTAAAATTTTTACGATATACTTTAAAAAATAGGATTTGCTGTTTGAAATCTCAATGTCTGATCACAGAAGATTTGACAGTGCAAACCGGGCCTTAACGTTACGATCCAAAGTGTTTGAGTTGGTAATTCAATGAGGGGAGGGCGTCGTTCGGATACCTTCGTCGACTAGAAGTTGAAAATAAATGAGAGTTGTCGATGCATATACTCTGACAAGGTGGAGCAAGTTAATTCATCGAAGTGATCGAACTCTAATGATTATAGTCTCGAACTCTAATGATGGATCGAACTCTAACGATCATGAATTTGATCGAACTCTAATGATTATGGTCTCGAACTGTAATGATGGATCGAACTCTATATATATATATAACGATCATGAATTTTAGTATCGTATCAAGTGCATATGATTTTATTGGACTCGGTGGGTGATATAATTTAATGTAACCGGGAGCTTCTTTCAGTAAAACTTCATTTCTTATTTGCCCATGAGCAAAAAGTAATGAAGTTTAATTAATTAATTTTTTAGAGAGATAGGTGATACTTTAGATTAAAACTTTTACCAGATAGATAATAAAAAGATTTCTTTAAACGTCAAGTGACGCGAAAATTTCCTATAATGCATGGTAATCGACACTTTATAGTAATATACTGTATAAATAATCATTGTTTCTGTAATTTTAAAATGCGATAGTGGATTACTAGTGTAGTTAGTATATTTGTACCTAGTTATAGTTGGTATATAATCGGAAGCTGGAGTAGCTTATTTAGTAGCACCGTACCTAATGTAATGTAGTAGCACCTAATGATTGATATACACCTAATGAATATATACATTTATATATGCCGTGCTATATACCAGTATCTTCATTTCCATACTCTGTATATAATTTGTATTGGGCCTACAACGTGGCATAAGGATGATATAATTATTTGATTAGAGACGATAAACACTGCTCAGCGCTTCAAATGGGTGTAACATTAGCGGCATGATCATATATATTTTATGCACATTAATCATCTTAATCTATATGTGTAGCTCTACAAATATTTTATATATGAAACACTTAATGCAGTATAATTAATTAATAAATCTACGTTTAAATCCAGTATCCTTGTGGAAACGTCATTTAATGTACATAATTCATCTGATGTATATATATGGTAATACCACCCACTAAAAAAGGGGATAGTATAATTGTGAATGCAAGACTATAATAAACAATGCACCTCCCCTGACGGAAGCTGCTAGGTCGCATGTTGCACTTATGTTTGTCTGAAATGATAAATAGCCTATGCCTCTTAATTTTTTATAAAGGTAAGCGTTAGTCTGCATTAAATGCCAGGTTTATTGCTTGAGAGATTATACAGTTTTCTAGTAGGAGTTCCTTATTAGGATTTTTTATTAGAACTGCGAATTATGTGAATTCTGTGGAACGCAAGAATTGAACGGACTAGACTAGCCTGTCGAAGTATGGATATACATTACTTTCCAGAAATAACAAAAACCGCGGTTAACCTAGGTCAAACCTTGGTCTGATCGGTTGAACCGAGGTCAGACCGAGGTCCAACCTAGGTAAGACAGACATTCCCTAAGATGTGACAGATTTGTCTGACAGACATTTCTTAAGATCTTTTCGGTTTGATTGTTGTGTTGTCGTTCTCAGCAGTTCATAACATTGTGTTCGATAGCGAATGGCAACTGCGATCGTATTTTTTCGTAGATTTTGTTGAAAGCAAATGCAAACATTCATGCTAAACTAAAACATATTAGAAAACGAAATGAAAATTATATACGCAGTACAGTTTCTTGAGCAATGTTATTCCCATATAAAAAATGTTCTGTTGCATGCATTTGTCATTATATCTTGAATAGATATCACTATTCAATCGAAAATTTGCATGCGAATTAAACGAACACACTAACTTATAGTTTCCACATGAATTTAAAACCCACACAACAATAGCATTATGCTATTTATATTTTTAATTTTACCAAAAGGCGTATCGTATATTATGATTTTTTACTTTTATCTACTTTTTTACGTAAAATCTAATACAAAAATGCCAAGAGTTTTACAATAACATGCACTTACCAGGCTGGTATTCTGCAAGATAATAACAATAAATATATTTCTAATTAGGATGATGAGGATAATGTATCCTATCATGTGGATACTAACAGTTGTTCCTTTTAGGTTCAAGATCATTACTCTTAGTTTAGCTGTTCAATGAGTCAATAGTTTTACCGTTCCCTGGTTCCCCTATTCCCAGGCTCGCCCGTTCTCTGGCTCCCCTGTTCCCGCATTCCCCTCATTCTCCTGTTCTTCCACTCCCCCATTCCCTATTTTAAAGAAACCCCACGCTAGCCATACACAACATAGGTACAATTTGTTATAATCAATGGCAGTTCATGTTAAAATTTTTTTGAATACATGCGTTGTTATAAAAAATTGCTTGAAACGTCGAATTCAGTTTATGTATAAGATTTGCTGACTGAAAATACTAAGTGGTTCTCGTAATTATTACTATACAAACGTCTGAATTGTAACTCTTTCTGGTTCTTAATATTGTCCGGTTGGCGGTGATCTGACTCTGTTTGTGTACTTTTTCCCGCGTTTATACACAAAAGAGACGGAATGTCACAGAACGCTTTCGTTCATCTGTATTTAACCCGTCATGTCTAGATATTTAATAACACTCGACAATATGTGGACCGGCTGTCATATGGACATGTATTAAAGCGAGTGCAGCCTTGCAGAGATATGCACTTGCAAAAGTTTCGGTAATTTACTTGTTTGTCCCGGATTGTCGATTGTATCCTCTTGTTTAGACAGTTGTGCTGCTAGATAATATTAAAAGTACCTTAGACCACAAGCCATGCAGGTAAACATTCTAACCATCTGCGGATATACACTCACATAAAAACGGCAGCATTGTGCAACTCGCGTCTTTTACGGATGGCATAAAATTTATGGACGACAAAAATATTTAAGGCATTTTAATAGCGCTGTTGGTTACCTCAATGGAATATTCGTACGCTTGTACGTTTTTATTATTTCACAAAAATATTTTTCCTGAAATTGTTTACTTTTAGTATAGAGCGACTCAAAACCGCTTTTATGTCGTGAACGTTTCAGGTGTTTGAATGCTGCTTGAAAACTATCAAACGAATTCAAAATGTTTCTTTCACTTTCAATACAAGCATATCATTAACGATAATTTCTTCCAAGAACGAGACAATAAAAGTCAGCAATGCATAAAAAAGGGATTCAATGATTCTAAAGGCTTTCGTAACACAGCTTAAGAAAAGCATATATACAACGTTGGCAGCTCACGTTTGTTTAAAATCCTTACAATTCACATTCGTTTAAAGTCCTCTATGAAGGTGAGATAACTTCCTTTTGCTTAACTAATTGTTAGAAGTGTGTATCTTAGATATATAAGAACCCACACTAATTTTTTCTAAACACGATAAGGCTGAAGCAGAGGTGGTATACAATATAAATGTGTATACAATATAAATTAATAATAAAATATTCCTGAAACAAACTATATTTCTGTTAGATTTCTTGTTTAACCAGCTCATCGAGTTATGTAATATAATGTAAACTTTTATTATGTAAAATAATGAAAGTTTTATTTATAATGGTTCTATTATGATATTGATTCAAATTAAAAAAACTGTGCTGGAATTGTAAGCACTATTACATTAGACATCATTGGCCAGTTGTTCAAAGTTGCACGGGTTAGCGCTAACCCTGCATGGGTTAAACTTTAATACAATTTTAATCCTTAGGTTTAAGTGCTTCTGAATCCCTTTTCGTTGAAAAACCTTTAAGAAAAAGATTTGCTTTAATTCAACCCCATAATAGTTGAAGTCCGTTCGGTGTACATGCTCTGCTGATAACAATCTATATATATAAACAACATTCCAGGCGTCGCAACATAACAGTTGGAATACAAACAGCTGGTTTGTCTTCTTTTGTGATTTTAATTTTAATTAAAATTCCAGCGAAGAAGTGCCATTTTAATTTGGACTGTTGCACAGTCTGTATGAGCACAGGACTTTGCATCATCTTGAACACTATTACACTTTCTCTTGCGCAAAACACATGCCACCTTTCGTTATGTCTTCTTTAAAACTTTTTGTAAAATACATGGAAAATTTTTGGAATAGTTTTGCAACTACCAAACTATTACACTCTTTGGTGTTTCTTACACTTACATTTTAAAGACTAATTTACATCTCTTAAGAGTAGAATTGCATTACAAGTTGCAAGAAAAATTGCACCGTGTAACATGGCCTTATCTTGATAACGCAAAGTTTCAATTGTGTTATCATCCCCAGTCCTTACCGCTGTAACGTCGCAGATCTCAAACTTCAAACTGGACTTAAAAATTTGCACGGAGGGGCGTACCTGATTTCAAATTTAGGGCTAGGACATTTAGCTATTGAAGTCATTTATCCATAAAATAATTAGGTTATACAAAGTGAAAATTAGGCCGTGAATGAGTCACGAGTATTCGAGGGTTTTCAACAACACCGACTTTGTTTAGACAGTTGGTTACTAGATAATATTAAATGTACCTTAGACCACAAGCCATGCAGGTAAACATTCTAACCTCCGAGGATATACACTCATATAAATACGGCAGCGTCTTTTACGGATGGCATAAAATTTATGGACAACAAAAATATTTAAGACATTTTAATAGCGCTGTTGGTTACCTCAAAGGAATGCACGCTTGTACGTTTTTATCATTTCACAAAAATATTTTTAATGAAATTGTTTATTTTTAGTATAGAGCGACTCAAAACCACTTTTATGTCGTGCATGTTTCAGGTGCTTGAATGCTGCTTGAAAACTATCAAACGAATTCAAAATGTTTCTTTCACTTTCAATACAAGCATATCATTAACGATAATTTCTTCTAAGAAAGAGACAATAAAAGTCAGCAATGCATAAAAAACGCATTCAATGATACTAAAGGCTTTCATAACACAGCTTTAGAAAAGCGTATACACAACGTTGGCAGCTCATGTTTGTTTAAAGTCCTTACAATTCACATTTGTTTAAAGTCCTCTATGAAGGTGAGATAACTTCCTTTTTGCTTAACTAGTTGCTAGAAGTGTGTATCTTAGATATCTAAGAACCTACACTAATTTTCTTCGCAGGGATTATTTCTAAGCACGATAAGGCTGAAGGAGAGGTGGTTATGTATATAATATAAATTAATAATAAAGTATTCTATATATGAAACAAACGATATTTCTGTAAGATCTATGGTGTCATCAATACACGTACAGTTATAGGGTAGCCAGATATCTGACGACATAAATTAAGATTATATTACAAGCGTTGTTTAAATTATATTACGGGAGGCACGTAGTATACAAAACTTGATATTTTTATGATTATCGTTATCTATATAACTTGTTGAAGATGAAAAATAATGAAAGTTTTATTTATGATGTTTCGATTATGATATTCATTCAAATTAAAAGAACTGTGCTGGAATTGCAAGCACTATTACATTAGGCATCATTGGCCAGTTGTTCAAAGCTGCACGGGTTAGCGCTAACCCTGCATGGTTTAAATTTTAATCCAATTTTAATCCTTACGTTTAAGTGCTTCTGAATCGCTGTTCGTGGAAAAACCTTTAAAAAATGTGGCTTTTGTCGGCCCGGAAAATATGTATGGAAACAGATATTTAACTTTGTAAACAAGCAATAAAAAAATTGGTGTAAAGATTTGCTTTAACTTTAACATATGGTTAAAGTCCGTTCGGCGTACATGCTCTGCTGATAACAATCCATAAACAACATTTCAGTCGTCGCCACATAACAGTTGGAATACAAACAGCAGGGTTGTCTTCTTCTGTAATTTTAATTTTAATTAAAATTCCAGCGAAGAAGTGCGATTTTAATATTTGGACTGTTGCACAGTCTGCCGGTATGAGCAGAAAATATGCTCAGAAAAAACTTCACATCATCTTGAACACTATCACACTTTCTCTTGCACAAAACACATGCCACCTTTCCTTGTCTTGTTTGATTAGTTTTTGAAATGAAATAATTGACGTGGTTGATAACGTTTCACAAAGGACTAAGCTTTCACATATGAAGTGAATCACAAAAGTCATAATCACTCGTAGATGATAAAGCCGAACACATCACTATATCATTCGATAAGCTGCACACGCTTTTTTGACCGATTTACACAATTATTTGATACTGAATACTGACAAACCAAACATTATTTTAGCAAAATATTCTATGACGCGCTGTTTGGTGTTTCAAAGGAATGCACTTCACTGATCTTTACCGTTCATTTTCATTATTTGTTTCTATATAAATTTGAATTGTTTACCATTTTACTGTCGATTTTTTTAATTTACCTGATATTCTCAGCACTAGCTATCACACCATGTGTAAGCTTGTCTTGTTTAACTTTCCATTGCCTTTCTAAATAAACGAATATGCTAATTTCCAACCAAAAAAGGCAATTGAAGACTATGCATGCATGCATGCATAAATGAAGTGCTCATCTGCTGTCAAAACGCATAATTGCAGATTCTGTAAGAAGTGTGAAGTCTAAATCCTAGTTAATTCTTGCAATTGCGATCTCGCAAACTTTACATCTTGTGCAGGTTTCTAAGCGAGATCGGTAGGTAGGAATCGTGTGCAGATAATTCAATAAGGTTTGTCTTGAGAGCGCGATGGGTTATGGAATACTTGGAACTCCTAACTTGGAACTTCTGTCACTGTATGCACTCCATACACCACGATTCACGGACGATATATAATTTGTAGATGAGGAAGCCTTGAAGCGAAGCTTTGTCTAAATAATTCATGGAGATGTGTATGTACTTCAAAGGAATGATCGCTCGCTCAAATTTTACTTTAGTTTTTGAAAATCCCTGTACCTTAGTCATTTTCCCTATGTATGAACGACTTCAAAATTTACTTTCAAAATTAATTAGCTCCAGTCATTTGTAATCCTGAGTGCTACCAATCATACGATGTGTAAACTAGTTTCAAGCTCTGAATCGATGAATTTCTGATGCAAATTATTTCCGTTATTCAAATATTCATTTATTATCAATTCTCTTAGAATAGCAGCATAGCAGTTCTTTTCCGTGGTTGATCAAAATATTATACAAGGTGTAGCGAAACGGGGTTTACTCAAAGGGAAAACCCTGGATACGAGGTTGGGTTTATTCTAAATGCTGCTAATCATCAAATAATGTGAAATAAAGTTATTCTAGCTTTCACTTTCAATTTATATATTATTTCATGATAATTTCTTCTAAGAAATGGACAATAAAGGTAGGCAATGCATGACAAAACACATTGATTCTAATAGCTTACATAATACATTTTATGAAAAGTGTGTAATGTATTGCTAGTTTCATATTCGCCTAAATTTCTACCGGTACGTGAAATAAATTCTTAGCTATATAACGTCTAGATGCTAGCAGTGTGTACGTATCTAAAAACACACACGAGTTTCAAACGAAATTTATTCTTGTTAAGGTCGCCAGGACTGTCAAATGTCGACAATTATACAATCGCGATTGGAAGCATGCAATAACTTCAAATTATGCAAATTATTTCCGTTATTCAGCATATATAGTAGTTGTTTTCCGTGGCGGATTTATATAGTTGATCAAAATATATTAAACAAGGTGTAGCAATACAGGGTTTACTCAAAGGGAAAACCCTGGATACGAGGTTATACATATACTTGCTCGGGACAGGTTCTAATATTTTGTAGGATCTCTTTTACGTTTCAAAACTGCTTTGACTTTTCCCTGGCATAGAGTGAACCAATTTTGTTATAACAACCGCTTTAATTCTATTCCAACATTGATTAAGGACGTTCCACTGGTTTTCCTTCTACTTTCTTTCCATCTTCCTTTGCAATGGTAGCTCTTAGTCTCCCACATTTTCATTTCATTGAATACGAGCCTGATTCACAAAACGTTCCAATTTTTCCCCGGACACCTATAACTTCATCTCAATTTTCGCTGAGATATCCCTTCATTGTTGATTTCGATTATCTGGCCTCACTACCATTCGCATTTCTTGTACAACTTAAACACCATGTGAATTAACTAGTAAACATAAGCGAGGCTGATCTATCATATAATGTGCACATCAACAAATCCGCTTTCCAACTCACAAGACATCATTTATTGTAAATTAAAAAAAATATATCGGCTGGACTCAAAATTTTGACCCCCACTGTATATTATTATTGTCAAAATGCCAAAATTAAATCTTGTAGGTGGGTTTGCTGTAACATATTCGTCTTTATTCCTGAAAATAAAACTAGCTATATTTTGCTAGGTAGTATAATAGTGTTGCTCAGTATATGTATAAAATCATTACGAAAGCAGAAAAAGCAGAAAATATTTCAAGGATTGTATAAAGTAGTTCCGAGTTCCTACGATGACGTGAGATAGCGCCAAATGCATCGCACAAATTCTTTATGTTCTAAACTTCTCTATTGGTTTTTAGTTTGTTGTCTCGAATATCCTGAATGGCTGAATCACCTTCGGCAGTTATACGAGTGTGCGGATCCCTTTTCCGTGACAAATTTGTTTTCCATATCGAGACAAACAATGTGGAAGTGGTAAAAACAGTGTGCGAAACAGCCATTAAAATAGGTCTGGGTCTCGGCGCTCTGTATGTTGGTTATAAATTACTGAAACCATTAGTGGACGTTGCAGTGCAAAATGCTCTTGGTGGCAACCACGATGGTCAAGATCCTCCTGACGTTCAGCCTGGATCTTTGCGTGTTGAGTTACATTGTCTCACAGACATCAGGTTTCTGGAAGTCTTAGAGGATTATGAATCAGGAAGAATGAAGGAACGCTTGCAAGAAGAGTTTTCCAAGGTTGGAATCAAAGTAGAAGGACTGAAGGTGGAGATTGAAAACATGAAGGAGGTGAATGAAACAAAGGAAGTAATTATGAAGAGGTAAATGTTTGATTATTACGAAATTATTATGCAACCTATTCCCGAGAATAATTTATAGCCCAATGGACGATTTGCGCTTTAGACTAATTTTTGATGGAAGTAACAAGAAAATAAATCATCACATGCAGTTAGAAAGATCTTACTTAAATTAGTGCAAATGCAAAGTTTCGTTGCGAAATTTTTGTAAAATACGGAAAAGATAGGATTCCGCTGTTCTAGCTGTTACAATACCCAGGTGTAATCCCTAATCTCCGGGCGAAATTAGCACTCTCGCACAACGCTCCTCGCCGGCTTTGGGATTAGTAGAAAATTGGTTTTCACCGTGCCGGGCGGAGATCGAGTGTCGTGTGCGGGTAAGAATTCGGCCATGGGCGATATTTTACACCCGGGTATTTTGACAGAACATAGCCGAATCCATAGCCATCCCAATTATATGTCGTGGACAGTCGACGTTGGATGGTTTTGTTAGTCATACAGCAGCGCCCTAATTGGCTATAAAGCGGAAAGTTTTGTATTTATTGACAGGGGCGTAAGTCTAAAATCTCTTTTACACCTAATGCCGACCATTTGAGGAAGGATGAACATTACAAATTGGACCGCACGTTATCCAGCCCATGCAGGTCAACGAAATTGCATTGTACCTACTATTCTTGAAATATATTTTTAAAGCACGTGCGGATTAATTTAACACATTGAGTATTCCACCTGTAACTTTTTTCAAGAAGACCGCTTTTTACTCGTTCTACTTTACTATACATTTTACTGAAAAAATTGAGAGCGTAAGGATCACATGCTTGCTGCTGAGAATAAATGCCTAAAAAATATTTTTCAAAAATTTCCGCTATGATGGAAATTGTCATATAACCGCGTCACTGTCATTATTATTTATCATTATTGAATAAGTATTTGTTGGCCCAGTATGCAACAGATACAGCTATACTTATTATATTAGAGTATCGATCGTTGATGATGAGATGATGCAGAAAGTAAAAACTGCCTCTTCTCCATTTAGAAGACACTATATGACAGAAGAATACAAGTCAGCATTTGATTTGCAACAAAAAGGTCTTCATAAAAAGATAAAAATACATGGAGAAGATCATCCTGAAACAGCTGACAGTTATTACAGCATTGGAGCTACACTAAATGAGATGAAAGATTACAAGACAGCATTAAAGTCGCATCAAAAAGCCCTCGAGATTCGATTAAAATTGCTAGGGAGAGACCATTTTCAGACAGCTCAAAGTTATTTCAATATTGGGCTCACACAGCATGATTTGAAAGATTACCAGCTCGCCCTAGAGTCATTTCAAAATGCTCTCGAGATTTTTCTGAAATTATTTGGAGAAGATCATTTAGGATCAGCTGAAAGTTATTACAATATCGGAATCATTCAGCATAAGATGGGAGACGACAAGTCAGCATTAGAGTCGCATCAAAAGGCCTTGGAAATCAGATTGAAACTCCGTGGAGAAGATCATCCCGCGACAGCTGAAAGTTATTTTACGACTGCAATCATCCAACATGCAATAAAAAAATACAACTCAGCATTAGAGTTGCGTCAAAAAGCTCTTGAAATAAGGTTGAAACTACATGGGAAAGATAACTTTCAGACAGCCCTAAGTCATTTCAGCATTGGGATCACACTACATGAGATGAAAGTTTACCAGCTTGCATTAGAGTCATATCGAACTGCTCTTGAAATCTTTCTTGAGTTATATGGAAAAGATCATCCTGCGACGGCTGAAAGTTATTACAGAATTGGCATCACGCAACATGAGATGAAAGATTACCAGTCAGCATTAGAGTCGCATCAAAAAGCTCTTGGAATAAATTTAAGATTATATGGAGAAGATCATCCTGCGACGGCTGAAAGTTACTACAAAATTAGCATCACCCAACATGAGATGAAAGATTACCAGTCGGCACAGGAATCGCACGAAAAGGCTGATAAGATAAGATCGAGATTATATGGAGATGATGTTCTTGGAACCGCTGACGGTAATCTAAGAGATCCGAAATCTTTGGGTTTGGTACTGGAAGCTTTGTCATTGTTTGAAGAAACATCAATTCCTGAAAGTTCGCCATTCACGAGTACATGAGTGAATAAACATGCATGGGGCATACCTTTAAAGACAGGCTTCATACATTTTGTCATTTACCTCTATCCGATTGTACTTTACAGGGGCGAAGGGACTGTTCGAAATGCATGCCCCGCTAACGTTTAAAGTAATAAGTTTTAATTTATCATGTAGATAATAGTTTGTAGAACAGTCAAGAACTGACTAGACCTTTGGTCTTAACAAGTGTAACGAAAACATTGATATATAATGATATGAACAATATTTAACATAAATTTTAGCAGTTTCGGTGTTCAGAAGCAGTGGCGTAGCTATGCGGGTGGATTGCCCCCCGAGAGACTATTTTTCCAATACGTTGAAATCTGGTTAGAAAATTGTTTCGGGTCGAATGGTGAAAGAAGACCTGTTTACAAGAAAGAAACAAACCCACAATCTTTTTGAAACCTCCACCATGGGAGAACCGCTAGTTTTTATTATATTAGATGCCCTATAATTTTAAATTTCGCCAGTGAGGATGTCACCAGACATCCCTTAAACGCGCTCGCCCCCCAAAGTGACAGCCCTGGCTACGCCCTTGTTCAGAGGTTTGCTGATCAGCACTGACTAATAGTGCATGATAGGTCACAATATGTATGTAGCCACGTACTCTACCATGTATTATTATTATTGTTGAAAAATAGTGGAGTATTAATGTATTTTTTGTCAATTCAGACTTTTTTAATTTTCTTGGACAATATCGAAAAGTTGTTCTTCGGACCGTAACTTGAATGTATTTTATAGAAGGCGGACAAATACTACCCCGAGAAATCTGAATTAGACGATCAAAGCAATGTCTCCAATTCCTTGCAGGGCAGGGGCGCCGGAAGCAGTTTATGGCGGCAGGGGCAGAGTTTTAGAAAAGGGCACATTCATTTTACCTTAGCAACCACACGAAGAGGAAACTCAAATTTACAAGTACATGCGAACTTGCATATCCACGGGAGAACGCATTTCAATAATATTACCGGTTAGTTTCTGTGCGAAAAGTAGGCATCATGATTAAATGTTGAACTTATGATACTTATGGTAGCAAAGGGCACAGGGCTGCCGCCGCTGCTCCCGTGGTTCCAGCGCCCCTGTTGCAGGGTATGGAATGTCTGCATGCAAACGAGCGTCCTTAAGGTTGGCTTGTTTAGGCATGATAACATATACCAATCAATGGCAATTCTTATTAAAATTTAACGATCGTTGTTGATCAAGCTTTTTTAGTTCTTTTGACACCAACCCCGGTTAACTCGAACTCGGGGGAATACTGTATTTTATAGAACGTCTCTATGAGGCGGATCTAAAACCCGCTACTCAAAAACAGCAGGTTTTAGTATTTGTTTACTCCGAAAAATCGGAATTAAGTGATCAAAAGAATGTCTCTAATTCATTGATGGGTATATCTTACCGGCTAGCGAACGCCCTAAAACTGGTTTGTTTAGGCGTAATTATATAAATATACCGATCAATGCATGGCAAATTGTTGTGAATACATGCGTTGTATTAAAGAATTGCTTGAAACGTCGAATTTTTATGCATATTTACTGACTGAAAATACTCTAAGTGCATGGTTCTCGTAATTATTAGTAAACAAACGTCTGAATTGTAGCTCTCTTAAAGTTTGGTTTGTTTGGGCGTGATAAACTTGGTTAAACGACTTAACTGCGAACTTGTTTGTTTGGCGGTGATCCCGGCGTCTGTTTAATTTTGCCCGCGTTTGTACACAAAAGAAACGGAATGCGCACACAGCGCTTCGGTTCTCCTGTATTTAATCCGTCATGTCTAGATATTTACACTCGGCAAAAGGCATAAAACGGCTTTCAAAGACAAGGATCGAAGAGATTGCAGCGTCGTGGACATATAGAAGCTGAAGAAAAACACGATTTTTCTCGATAAAAATAGTGATATAATATTTAAGCCGCTTCTAATCTCTATAGTCCATATTCAATCATGGCACAACATCATCTCACAATGTAAATTGAAGTATGAATCAGACATGTTCAGATATGAACACTCGATATGTTAAAAGACATACTACACATATACAGGGTGAGTAAAAAAAAACTGACACCTTTGAAATTCAAATTAGCTGCGAACTTATATGGCTGGTATGACAATTCCCATGTACAATCAACAAAAACGATTTGATAAAACTGTTCTTTTGTATTTACAGAGCTTAGAATGCATTTTAACTCCCAAAGGGAACAAATTTTATGTTTTAAGTTAATTAATATGATATGCTTCGCATACCAATGAGATATTTTAGGCAATTTCTGTCACATTACAGCCACTATGCAGCTAATTTGAATTTCAAAGGTGTCTGTTTTTTTTGACTCACCCTGCATGTATAGGCAGACATGTTAATATGGATATTACCATATATAAACATCTGAATTGGTGCTGCGGGGTTTTCTTAATTTCGACAGATGTCTCGGGGTACAATTGCGTCAATGATCAGCTAAAGTTAATGTACTGTTAGAATTTTAGTCACAGAGACATTAGAACCATATTAAACCGTCATACCACAGTTAATAGAATATACATGATTTGGAGACTAAATAAAAGTACAAAACAACTCATTAACTATGTTATTGTCCAGGTTTATGCAAAAAATGGTCCCTTTCTGGTCACGTTTCTATTGTATTTTAGCCAAATTTACAAATGGCATTCGTCTTGCTAAGCTCCTCAATCTTGACTTGAAAAATATGTTAATTTTAAGATTACCATTGGTTTTTCTGTGCAAAATACAATACATGTGATGAGAAAGGAACAATTTTTTACATAAATCTACCTCAACACAGTTAATGAGTTGTATTGTAGTTTTATTTAGTCTCCAAACCATGTATATTCTTTTAACTGTGGTCATACTTAAGTGCTCTTCAGTTGTGTTATACGATTGCTTATTGCCTAAACTCCAGGCTTGTTATTTCATGCGGTCGTTTCTTTATGCCGAGTTTTACCCCATGGAAAGTAAGGAAACCTAACAGATTTCGTAAAACAAGTAACTCATATAACACTCAGTCACTTACCTTATTAATTGCTCAAATATTTCAGTCCTGATATTCGCTGTACTTGCGGTAGAGTTAGTAATCTTCGTACCATGGAATTCAGGGTAAATCACAACGACAAAAGCAACGGAATGACTAAATTATACAGGGTGAGTAAAAAAAAACGGACACTTTGAAATTCAAATTAGTCGCATAGCGGCTGTAATGTGATAGAAGTTGTTTAAAATATTTCATAGGTGTACCAAGCATATCATATTAATTAACCTAAGACATAACGTTTGTTCCCATTGGGAGTTGAAATGCATTCTAAGCTCTTTAAATACAAAAGAACAGTATTATCAAATCGTTTTTGCTGATTGTACATGGGAATTGTCATATTCCAGCCATAAGTTCGCAGCTAATTTGAATTTCAAAGGTGTCAGTTTTTTTTGACTCACCCTGTATATAGCAGCCTATATCGGCTACAACGGGCAGTTTTCGGCAGGACAAACATAAGAATGTTTTGACATTTTAGTTGTTTGTCCAGGATTGTTGATCGTACCCTTTGTTGATTGTTAATTGTAAGCTTAATTTATGCTGGATATTTGCTTAAACTAAGGTCTTTGGGTAGGGTCACAGCTCCTCGCAAGAATGATTTTCATTGGCTAAACTTCACAATACATTTCTGTTTCAACCAATTGCATAGCTTCGTTCTTTAGAAAGGATAGAAAAGCATTACCCAATTGGACGAAAGCTTACTCACCTTTTTTTAGCATTGTCAAATAATTATCTAGCATTTTTCAAAAGCATTCTTTCTCGAATGTAAACGTAAAATAATCGTTAACGTAAAATAATCGATTAAGCGCCGTTACTCGAATAAGCGCCGCACCTCAATAAAAAAAATTAATAAGCGCTGCGGCGCTTATTTAGGAAGATATAAATAAACACTAATGTAAAAATAAACGATTTTTTATTTAAACGCGTTAATCCTAACATTTGAACTATTGAGAACGACGACCAGTATTAAAACTTTAAAGTTTTATTGTCGAATATCTCTTACAACCGGGCTCATATGACAGTTCTGATAGTTTAAAATTTTCCTTCTTCCTAATTAACTCCGTGTCTAACACTTGGGCATGTCGTCGATTCGCCGTATATGCTGTGAACTTAGCGTGAATCACCAGCCCAGCCTCGCGCTTTCTCAGTTCCTGTAACCTCTATGAAACGTTTATTCGATTCATCGGCCTTCAGAAAATAATCTATTTGCTCACTTTGAAATAAGCGCCGCTGTCAAATAAGCCCTGCGTCTTTAAATCGATATTTGCAATAAGCGCCGCGGCGCTTAATCGATCATTTACGGTAGTTATAATGGTCCACACACACTGGACGCGGTTCGCTTAAGGCCCTTTTTTCGGTGCAATTTTTCTTGCAACTTGCAATGCAATTCTTCTTTTAAGAGATGTAAATTTGGCAACTACCTTTTTTTTGTCTTTATTACACTCCTTGGTGCTTCTTACACTAACATTTTAAAGACGCGTCTTCACTAATTTACATCTCTTAAAAGTAGAATTGCGTTGCAAGTTGCAAGAAAAATCGCAGCCAAAATTGCAAGTGTAAACGGGCCTTTAGATTTTTATTCGAAAATCTTCTTTAGAAATCCATAAGCAATGGCTAGCGTTGTTAATAAGACATATTGAATTAATGTAATCGACACGTTCAACGCGAATCTATCTTTCAACGATGGGAGACGTCTACTGATGGGGAAACTAGCTGAGTTAATTCGCCGTAGCATTGTTAGATATTTCCTTTAAAAATACTCTAGGAAAATCCATAACCAATTGTATTTGTAATGAGGCATTTTAAATTTAAAATTAGCTAGCTCTGGATCCGCCACTAAAAAGGGAAAACCAGGTCTGAAATTTCCAATTTAAAAATTTAAAATTCTGAAATTTAAGACTTCCTGTAACCAACCATGTCAACCATGCATGTCCCGTCAAATTCACAGCATGTGACCATGAGCAGAACGCTGTCGCAGACAGTCGAAGTAAAAGAACAGGCGTGTACAAACACAGTCAAATTGCTATTTATCGACGTTCAAACCCAAGGAACTCGACAATTGAGGTACCACTTTATAGTTCTGTTGTTGCATGAACGGTTGATGTTTTGTATAGATGTTTAATGGCTTATGCTAGTCCAGCGGGGACTTCCTGTATTCTGACATAGCTTCGTTCACGTCGTGGATTATATCTTTTCACGAATAACCGACGTTTGCACATGCTTTGCCAAATACTAGGGGAGTTTATTGCAATATATATTTAAGGTGTCAGCCCAACGAGACGTTTATTAGCCTTCAAATTTGAGTCACATGAATTGGTTTGTCGAATCCGTAATTCTCGTGAAATCGCAACACACGGCTGGATAATTTATAACCACTGTGAAGTACGCACCACATTCAACACGACATTCAACACGATAATCAACACGACATTCAAAAACACCGTACGACTCATTTCCATCATTCAAACGTTCGAAATTCAAATACTGTTTAAAACCCTTTCCAAACATTTATTAAAAGGAATAATGCACTAAATCGATCAATTGGAGCTTAGACTTTATACCTCGTGACAAAACAGGCGGAATCAACGTAAAATGTGCCCAAAAAAAGAGATTTTGTACCAACATTTTTATCGCTAATTTTGTAATTCGCGCTGCAAAGAACAATTTCCTAAATTTCTCAACCCCGATTCCATAGAAATCCTTTGAACTTTCATATTTAGTAGAGAATTATATGCTCTTTCAAACGATGTGTAACATGAAAGTGGATTGGTCGTAGAAATATATAAAATTCCGTCTTGAAATGAAACATGTTTGCACGCGCGTCTCTTATAAGCTAATTAATAATACCTATTAGCGCGCAGCAAAGCCGGGCGACAGTAATTCCTAAAGAATCGCAATTTTCTCAGCCGCTATTCTATAGAATTTCTTCAAATCTTCGTATTTAGTTCGAAGTAATATGCTCTTTCAAACAATGTGTAACATGAAAGTGGATTACGTCAAAAAAAGTTACGTCTTGAAATCAAACGTTTTGAATGTCGTACGTACTTCACACTTTGGTGCGGTTGAGTTTGAGAACAAATTTCATACATTTCGAAAGAGGAATCACTTGAACATTGCAAACTTTTTAAAAGAGTGTGTCATTATGTACTATTTACGAAAGTATAGTGAAGTTCCACAGAATAGAGGCCGAGAAAATTGCGATTATTTAACGAGTAGTCTTTTCGCGTTTCTTACTCTTACTAATGCGCAGGCATGTCTTAATATATTGCAATTTTCTCAGCCGCTATTGTATAGAATTTCTTCAAAACTCCGTATTTAATTCGAAGTAAAATGCTCTTTCAAACAATGTTTAACATGAAAGTGGATTGGCCCTAGAAATGTATAAAATTCCGTCTTGAAATCAAACATATTTGCACGCGCGTCTCTCATAAACTAATTAATAATACCTATTAGCGCGCAGCAAAGCCGGGCGACAGTAATTCCTTAAGAATCACAATTTTCTCAGCCGCTATTCCATAGAATTTCTTCAAATCTCCGTATTTAGTTCGAAGTAATATGCTCTTTCAAACCATGTGTAACATGAAAGTGGGTTACGCCAGAAAACAATGAAATTCCGTCTTAAAATGAAACGTCTCGAATGTCGTGCGTACTTCACACTTTGGTGCGGTTGTGTTTGAGACAGAATTTCTTACATTTCGAAAGAGGAATCACTTTAACATTACAAACCTCCTAAAAGAGTGTGTCATTCTGTACTATTTACGAAAGTATAGTGAAGTTCCATAGAATAGAGGCTGAGAAAATTGCGATTGTTTAACGAGTAGTCTTTTCGCGTTTTTTACTCTTACTAATGCGCAGGCATGTCTTAATATATTGCAATTTTCTCAGCCGCTATTCTATAGAATTTCTTCAAATCTCCGTATTTAGTTCGTAGTAATATGCTCTTTCAAACAATGCGTAACATGAAAGTGGGTTACGCCAAAAAACGATGAAATTTCGTGTTTAAATGAAACATGTTTGCTCGCGCGTTTCTTATAAGTAATTACTAATTCCAATTAGGGCGCAGCAAAGCCGGGCAACAGTTATTCCTAAAGAATCACGGTTTTCTCAGCCGCTATTCTATAGAATTTCTTCAAATCTCCGTATTTAGTGTGAAGTAATATGCTCTTTCAAACCATGTGTAACATGAAAGTGGGTTACGCCAGAAAACAATGAAATTCTGTCTTAAAATGAAACGTCTCGAATGTCGTGCGTACTTCACACTTTGGTGCGGTTGTGTTTGAGACAGAATTTCTTACATTTCGAAAGAGGAATCACTTAAACCTTAGAAACCTCCTAAAAGAGTGTGTCATTCTGTACTATTTACGAAAGTATAGTGAAGTTCCATAGAATAGAGGCTGAGAAAATTGCGATTGTTTAACGAGTAGTCTTTTCGCGTTTTTTACTCTTACTAATGCGCAGGCATGTCTTAATATATTGCAATTTTCTCAGCCGCTATTCTATAGAATTTCTTCAAAACTCCGTATTTAGTTCGAAGTAATATGCTCTTTCAAACAATGCGTAACATGAAAGTGGGTTACGTCAAAAAACGATAAAATTTCGTGTTTAAATGAAACATGTTTGCTCGCGCGTTTCTTATAAGTAATTACTAATTCCAATTAGCGTGCAGCAAAGCCGGGCAACAGTTATTCCTAAAGAATCACGGTTTTCTCAGCCGCTATTCTATAGAATTTCTTCAAATCTCCGTATTTAGTTCGAAGTAATATGCTCTTTCAAACAATGTGTAACATGAAAGTGGGTTACGCCAGAAAACAATAAAATTCCGTCTTAAAATCAAACGTGTCGAATGTCGTGCGTACTTCACACTTTGGTGCGGTTGAGTTTGAGAACGAATTTCATACATTTCGAAAGAGGAATCACTTGAACATTACAAAATTTTTAAAAGAGTGTATCATTATGAGTTTGGACTTTTAACTCTGGCTTTATACCTTTTTTATTAAAAAATAGAGTAAAAAATAAAATATATTAAAAAATTTACAAGTAAATGTTCACATTTTTCCCTCCCCCCCTCCACTTCTGCCTCCTCTTCCCCCTCTTTTCCCTCTTCTGGTCTTTTTCTCCAGATATGGGCACCGCCATTTTTTGTGCCCTCTTTCTCGGCAGTTGTAGCATATTACGTCTTAAACAATAGAGAAGTAATATTGGTCTTTAATAATGTTCGATCCTGACCGTCTGGTTGGGCGCAGATGTTTATTAAACAGAAATAATGATTGTACTTACCACTAGATTTTTTTTCGTATTTCTCTGTATTGATACGGTCTAAATTAGTAGAAATATATCATCAAAAGTGTCTCGCGCGCTCAGGGAAATAATCATGAAGATTTAACGAAGGTGTGAGACACGCAAAATGAAGAACAGGAAGGAATTAACTTCCATTTAAGCTTTATTTAGGATTTTAAAAATATGTGTTGGACCCTGTCAATGAGGACTTTACTGGTCGACAATATTGAATAATGTAAAAAACACATAAAAAAGTCAATTACGACTATATAAATTACGACTCAAATACGTATGACAACAAAGATTGCTAGTGAAACAAAGCAATCCACACCTTGTTGTTGTTGTGACTTCATCCACGTTTGAAATGCTTGAAACACTGCACGAAGATAATGATATCAAATTAAAACTCGATCAAACTAAAAGATCATTAAGTGTTTGCAAATTTTTTAAATTAAGAGTACATACTTTCTACCATGTGATTGTCGGTCGAACTAGTGCTTCCAGTTTGGGTTGTGGTTTCGTTTACCGACGCACCTGACAAGACATACAATCATTAAAAACAACAAACTACTTTGAATATTAACTTGTATATATTAAACCTCCGAAAAATTTCTGAATCACCTTGTACGGCATTTTCGGTTTGATCGGTCATCATTTCAGTACTTTCGCATTCAGCCATTTTCACGACACCTTTCCACTGTATGTGTGATATGCAATTGAGGTTTCATATCATTAGTGCTATTATTTTGACCATGCGTTTCAATGTACGTCACAAAATGATATGTCACAAATGACATTTCATCCATTTTCATTTCAATCCACGTGACAAAATGAAATGTCGCAGATCTGATTTAACCTGAAGTTTTTTTATTTTTAAAGTTGCTATTTCTCTTTGTTATTTTTCTTTCCAAAAACGTTTTTATGGTATACTTTATATGTTCTTCATCGAGCAGAAAAGTTTGAATGTGCAAAGCGAAAATGTCAGTAACAATTAAGACCTGCTGTGATTAATATTTTCGATCCGATGATGCAAGACAGGTACGTATAAAATGATTAATTATGTGTTACGAGGTTAATTACAATAAATTTAATTATTTGCACCCAGTCTTTAAGCCCATAACTCCCTATATTCATTTTGATTAGAGAGTCTACTTATTTTTTCTTCTGTCGAAGCAAGTTATTAAAGTTAATATATACACTGCACTGTCAAAATTGAAAATAATGGTAAGAACGGTAATGTAGCTACTATTAGCTTATGTACTGATACACATTTAAGTATTAGATTTATATCGGGTCTTCTACAATAACATGTATTCCTTTTTGTTAAGGTTTTCAAAAAAACGAAACGCACTTTCAATTTAAAAGATGATTTAGATAAAATAATATCGGCAATGACGCAGTGCGAAGGTGACGCCGCCACTGAAGGATGGCGAAAGCCGAATGGATTCTGGGGAAAAGTGACGGTTAAATGTGGACACACCAACACAGATTATATGCGTAGGGCTATGTATGTGCTTTGGCGTAAAAATGTGAACAACGTGAAGGAGAAGTTTGAAGCCTTTGTTGCGTCTAAATATGAAGCTGATCGTGAGGTAGGCTTTGTATAAGATTTCCTTAGTTTTTTTCGAACTTTTCTAGCCATTTCATATGCTTGAGGAAAGTACCTCGTTAACCCCGAGGGAATAAGTTATGTAAAAAAAGACATACATATAGAATACGCCGATTTGTTATATCTATCCTAATTCTTAAAATTGAATGGATTAACTGCATTAAAAAAAAACCGGAATATAGCAAATATCTCACAGCTTCTGAGGAACTGATTTAATAATAATGCCGGAAAACTGGCGCCAAAGGTTGGAATGTGGTAATCAGATAAAAAAGGGTGTTGTCGCATGTGCAAGGTGTCCGAAAAAAAAGCGCATGGTCGCATAAAATTTTTATGTTTTACTAAAAGCTACGTCATGTATTGCCATGCCCAAGGTCATGACTACCAGCTACTTTTGATTAATTCTCATAACTTATAAACCTTCTTGGCGATGACGTGAGGTGCTGAGTACTGCTTTGTATAAGTACTTATAAAATGCGAAAACTCCTATGCGAAAACTCCGAGTTTCCTGTTCATATTATTTTTCGGCGGTCACGATAAAAATTGCTGGACCACATACCTGATTTGCGTCATCTGCCTGTTCAAAATATTCAGACATTGCTACTTTGCATACATGAAAAAAGACACGCTCGCAGGGCCTAGTTCTTTGGACAAGCCTGAACCAGGGTTTTCGCCGTAGCGTGGCCCGTTGAGCGTTGGCTGAAAAGCCTGGCTTGCGAGCTCGAGGTTGAAAAATACCTAGCGAAATAGGCTGGTTTCGCTTTATAGGTATTCATATGTTTAATATATTTAATACATGTCATATATTAATATATTAATAAGAAATATTATTAATAATAATAACGTATATAAATCACTAATATTAATAATATATTAATATATAAATAATCGATTATTCATTATTAATGGAGATTAATATTGATATAAAATATTAATGCATATAAAATAGTAATAATATTAATGATATTAATATATTACTAATTGATTTTTGATTATTGATTTATAATTTAGAAATATTTGTAAATATTACTGTTTTAGAAAAAGGAACGATCAGAAATTCAGATCCCAGTCTCAAACAATTTTTCGATTTTGGAAGATCAGCTAGTAAGTTCACAGCATTATGCATTGCTTGTTCACCGTTTTACTGCATTTCTATTTACTATTTTCACTTGAAGATTGTGAATATCAGCCTTTGATAAGCAAATAACGGAGCGTTTTCACCGCCATTATAAGTTACCAATAAGGAATTGCTGCCTTTTCATTTTTTAGAATTCAGTCACGGAAATAGAGGGTGAGGTCACGCCAAATGAAAACATAATATGGACAAACATTGTGAGTATGCATGGTGTTCAAATTTCAGTAATTAAACCGTCACTAATTTAAAAAAATCGTACGCGTATCTAGGAATATGACGAGTTTTCTAGACGTACATTAACGCGCCGATGTACGCTCATTAGTAATGTCACTTGCCTTTATTTGTAGGCAATTGGTTCTAGTATACCAGCGAATGATAGCAGAAATATCTCATTCAGCGTGGAAACAGCAGAGACGAACTGCGAGCCAGAACAGTCGGAATTAGGGGTTAGTGAAGAAACATTGAGTTTTGACGATTTTCCGGAACTGATTAATTACGCTGACTTAGGTAAGTGCAGTAATTTTAAAGACATGCCACGAGAGGTAGACAGATTAAATTCAGAAAGAATCCAGGTTAAAGGTGAATTAGTAGCTGATAATAATAATAGCTATAATAAAAATGAAGAGTTTATTCATAGTGAGACAAAGCAGAGCGTCGAAGCCGTTGCTGGCGTTTTAGGGCGAAAGCGAACAAGCCAATGCCCGCCCTCCGTGCCTCCTCGTACGTCAAAAAGATCCAGACGGATACCCAAAGTCTTCACACCAAACAATGATAAGGTTTATTGTCTGTGCCAAAGCGAGGATAGCGGGTGGTACCTTGTTTGCAGTTTTCGATATGACGGATGTTTCATCTATTACCATTCAAAATGTGTTGGGCTGGCACATCTGAAATGTCAAGAGGATGGTAAAGATTACAGTAACTGCCAGGATGGCGAATCATATATGTGTCCTCTCTGTGAGAAAGAACATGGTAAAATTAGGAAAGAACGCCATCGCAGTCCTGGTGATGGAAAGATAACTGCCAAGCTATCTGAAGAGACGCTAAAGCAAAACTGCACTGTGAACAGTAAAGACGAATACGCGTTTATAGGGCAAAAAAGTAAAGATGATCGTGAAAAAATCGACTCTTCTTATTGCACAATGAATGCAAGTGTTAATTTAGCGAATTCTCCAACACTTACCGAGAACGAAGAGGCGCTAGAGCATCCGCAGCCTGGCTTTTTGAAAGCGGAATTAGAAGATACTGAAAGCAAGCGTTCTTCAGCATGCGCAGACGAAAATGTTACTTACAATCAAGAAAGTGGTGACGTAATGGGAGCGAATTCCCCAACACTTACCGAAAACGAAGAGGAGTTGGAGCATCCGAAGCCTGGCTTTTTGAAAAAGGATTTACAAGATATTGAACGCAAGCGTTCTTCAGCATGCGCCGACGAAAATGTTACTTACAATCAAGAAAGTGGTGATGTAATGGGAGAATCTCGTGTATATGATAAGAATAACTGCTTTAGTCTCGGCGTTAGTGACGAAAGCGACGAGTGTAACTCGGACAATTTTGATCGTATGGATGGTGCCGTTCTCAACGAACACAAAAATGAGAATAATTTGCCACTCTCGCATGACACACTTAGTAGGATGATGGATTGCAAACGTTTACCGTCATCTTTTTTTACGGCTAACCTACCAGACGAAGCTACATTTAAGCTAAGCGAGGAGGAATGGAACGCAATGAAGCCAAAGATCGAACAGCCAACGCATTTCCAGTCCTCGTGGACAAACATAATAGCACGCCGCATAGCTGAGTCCAATGCGTATTGCACTTTTCATTTTCATCGGCATTTCATTCAGAAATCAAATTCAAGAAAACGACGCTATCCTTATGTGTTTACGGCATATGGATTTTGCATTTTCGATGATTGTGAATGTAGATTTGAACTCAGTATGAGAAAAGAAGACCTAGATGAAAGAATAGTAAAAGTTTCCTATAATGGTAGGGTACAACATAAGGCTGGTGAAAGACACTCACGGTTTATTAAAGGAGACGAGAGAGAAGAATTAAAGAAGCAATTTCATAAGGGCCCTGACAAGCCATCTGTAGTCTATCAGGAAAAGAAATTAGAATTATCAAGCAATGCTATGGCTTCAGGTAACAGAACCAGCTGTGGTGTTCACCCAACAACTATGCGAAAAATCTCTAGCGAAGGTCGCCAGCTATTGCATCAAGACAAAGACATTGTTAAGTCTTTAGAGATGATCAGACAATCGTTTACAGAACAAGAATCAGCCCGCGAATGTAGTCCAACTACATTGGATGGATTTATTCACACGATTTGCTCCTTCCCTCTAATTGTTCATATGTGGATTGAAGACCAAGTGCGTTTATGGCATAACAGATGCAGTGATGATATCTCGTATTTAGATGCAACAGGCACTGTTGTTGCCAATTACAGCGGGAAACGGGTTTTATACTACGCAATGTTAGCTCGACATCCAAAGGAAGGTGATCCATCATTGCCAGTGGCGGAAATGATTACGAGCGATCACAGTGCTGGAAATATCCGTGCTTTTCTCGAAAGATTTAGGCGAGATGAAAGCAAAATATTCAGTCGGTTAGCATCACCACGCCAATTGAATACAGACTACTCTCGAGCAATATTGCTTGCAGTGCTAAAGGAATTCAACAACGAAACAATGGAAACATTCTTCCAACGAGCCTTTCGCATTCTGACAAAGAAAGGATCAGTTGGTGATTTCGAGCAAACAATTCCACACGTCGGATGCAGTCATTTCATGCATATTGTACATAAAAAGATAAAAGAATTGTCCCGCAATAAAAGCACTTCCAAGGAGGACCGAACCAATGATGTATGGTACCGTTTTAACATGTTCTGCGTGTCTTTGCTGGTGAACGCGCGAACGCTATACGAGTTTGATACCATACTTCAAGATATTGTTATATGTCTGTCAAGTGAAAGACAAAATGAAATGTGTTTAGTCGCATATAAAAGACTATCAGGTCGAATAAACAATATGGAAAAGGAATTTAACATAAATCTTGCGGAATTTCAAGCGGAAAGAGAGTGTAAAACGTCTCATAATGAAGAAGATAACATCGATTCTGGCAATCCATTTGTGAAGTACTTCCAAGAGAAAATAAGTGTAATAAAAACACGTTTCGAAAACCAAACAAACTTATTACAATGCGCAGAGGCAAATAGATCATACTGCCCGAAATTTTTAGAATTCATACTGAAATACATCCAAGAAATGCCATTATGGTCAGGAGTTTTGTTAGGGAATTTGGACCGGTACAAGGATGATTCGAATAAGAGTAGAAAAGCAACATACAATCCTGTTAATACATTCCTCTCGTTTTCGTCCGCAAATGCTAAATCAGAAGGTTACATCGAAGGTGCAATGAGAAATCTGAAACAAGAAGATTTCGCCGGAAGAAAGCGACTAAGAGCCGACGCATTTGTGTCAGAAAATTATTCAAGAATCCGAAGGCGTGTGCGTGATTACGCTGATAGATTACACAGCTGTATTCTTAATAGAACAAAGAGAACGTACAAAAAGAAATCTCAAAGCAAAGAAAGTGACAATTCAAGCCCAAGTGAGAGTATCAATTCAAAAGAGGAAAAGTTCCATGAAGCTCAAGAAAAATGGGGAAAGAAAGATCCAGAAACACCAAAACGAGACCCAAGGATCGGGCAATTTCAACAATCCCCGACCATATCACTTAGCGAAACTCCAGATTTAAAGAAAAAGAGAAGTGTTCGAACTAAGAATAATAATAAGAAGTTGAAACAGAACAGTGGGAAACATCATGACGAAAAGGATTGTAGAAAAGAGGAATTGATTGATCCCAAAACAGATTCTCAAAAGAAGGAAAGCAGCCACGAGACAACTTTCTTGGAAGAGAAAGACTCTAAAAAAGTGGACTTTCACTGTGATAAATCATTTCCGCGAAGCGAAGAAGAAAATTGTAATGAATCATTTCCGCGAAGCGAGGAAGAAAATTGTGATAAATCATTTCCGCGAAGCGAGGAAGAAAATTGTAATAAATCATTTCCGCGAAGCGAGGAAGAAAAGAGTCACGAAACAACAACCCTGCGAAAAGAGGAATATAAAATGAGAAAAGTGAATACATGCAGCAAGAAACCTCTCAATAAAACAAGGAAGCGAAGACCTCGCATGACAAAAAAAGAAAAGAAAGAAATGGAAAGAAAATTGTCGGAATGGATGTACAAACGGGATACAGATGACAAGGAATGTAAAAAGACCAGAAAAAACCGAAAAATCTCGAAGGAAACATTAAATTCAAAACGGAAGAAGTTTAATGAGTTAATTAATAGTTTAGATAATGACTTAAACGATGTTCAATTTGTAGCATTGCAAAACAAAAGAAATGATTGTTGGTTAAACAGCCTAGTTCAGTGTTTGTATTCCCTGCCGCTTAGGTTGCGACTTTTGGATGAAATGAAGAATACCACATCCGAGGTCACATCAGCGTTAATGAGTGTCGTAAGCAGAATGGAATACGCCTCTGGTACGAACGCAACTTTATATCCAAGTGAGCTTCACCAAGCTATCCAGAAAGAACACCAATTGCTTCCAGGAGAACAGCAAGACATTCATGAAAGCTTTACTTTACTATGTTCAGCGGGAGCGGAAGGCATGAATGACATTATTGCTAGCCATTTTCAAATTGGATGTCAATATAGAAAGACTTGCAGTGAATGTGGCTTTAAACAGGACTTGCAACCGGAAACACTGACAGCTCTTTTAATACCTGTATTAAATGGTGTAAATGATTTAGAATTAAGTGTTTTCAACAGCATAAACGACGAAGTTTCTATTCACTGCAGCGCTTGCAGAGAGGTTACAATCCACAGGCGTTCAGGAAATTTTTTGTTTCTACCTGAAACTTTAGTCTTAGTGTTTAAGAGATTCGATCACGATGAAAGAGCAAAAAAGAAGCACTCGAAGGTACTATTACCACTAGAACTACAGATTACGGCGAATCAAACAAACAGTTACAAACTTCGGGCATGCGCCCTTCATCACGGAATGCATATTCATAATGGACATTACACAGCGGTTGTTTTTGATGGAGGAAATGTTATCGAAATTGACGATGATAAAGCCAAGGATTTAACGGATAATTGGATATATCATATACAATCTACAGTTTATTTAGCATTTTACGTCAAGAAATATGTGTCTCCTGGGCAATCATCGAAATCGTATATTGCCCCTCGTTCACAAAGTCCCCGTCAAGACGAAGAAAAAAGTAGGGAAAATATATACAATGTCTACGATATTTCGCACAAGTACAAACGTTTCTGTTCGGTGGAGTCTAATGGTTATGATTTAGCAGGAGAGGATTTCAAAACACTAGAATTCCCCGTGGTTAATGATACATACACTATATCAAAACCTGGATGGCTGAACGATAAGGTTATTAATGCTTATTTATACCTTTTGGTAAATGCGGCTTCAAAAAATGGTCGTCGCGTTCACGCTTTTAACACTTACTTCTATTCACGATTGCGACAATTTGTTCTAAAAGATGGATCAGAATCTAGATTGCATGATATGGTGATGAAATCTCGAAAAATAGTTGATTATGAATCATTTGACTACTTGTTGATACCCATCAACACAAACAATGCCCATTGGACGGCAGTGTTGGTGGACATTTGGAGCACTCGTATTTATTATTATGACCCTCTAGGTAAAGGATGTCAAAATGAGACTGCAGTGAAATTATGCAAATTGTTTTTTGACGCCTTTTTCAAATGGCGGAAGACATGCTCCGTCGAAATTAGAGCAAAGAGTTTTATAAGTGGATTTGACGTAACGTGGGAGGAAGCGTTTCCTTTGCAAAACGACTCCGCTAGTTGTGGAGTATTTGTTCTTATGTACATGAGTCACAAGTTAGGATTACTTACTTTTAACCCTGGAATTGAAACAATCTCAGCCATACGAAATAATATTGCGGAGGAGCTACTCAACGGCGTGAAGCGGCAGCCAAAATCAAGTGCTAAAGAAATGATCAAGCGATGCTTCACAGCAACTCGATACAAGCAGACTATTGGAAATGACGTGATTTTATACTGCCGCGCATACGGAGACGTGCAGGAAACGTTTACCTGGACTTTTAACGGCCAGGAAGTCTGTAATAAACAATTATTCAAGTTCAACTTGACTAATGATAAAACTGGGATTTATCGTTGCCAGGTGCAGTATAGTGACGGGGATACACAGACATCAAGTTGCAACGTAGAGAGTGTGACTCCAGAGCCGTTGGAGCAGAAGAAAATATTGCAAGAATTTAAAGGTTTAATTGAACGCAGTTTAGGCAAAAAATAAGAGGTTGATTGCGGTGCAAATCCTTTTCACCGTAGTATACAAACGGAAAAACCATTGTTCAAAATGATGCGCGACCAGCAGCATTTACTTCGCAGCCATGTATAACGCAGCCATGTTAGATTGCGCAACAATGGCGAAATTGATAATGCATTCCCGAAAGCCTTTGCTACATTTACAAGTCTTCCTCTTTTCACCTATATATTACCTTATATTACTTTACGGAGCTCATTCTCTTAGTGAAGGCTTTTTTGAAGGCATTTTGCGCCGTTGCAGCATAGGGCGCGAATCGGCTGAAACAGGATTTTGGGTTAAGCATGATTTAAAAGTAAATTCTCCATTTCTCCTACAACGTTTTCAAATCGCAATTCGTTTCACGTATACTGAAAAAAGATTCCTAAGTTTGAAATACCTATTCATTTTACTGAAAATTAAGAAAATGTTACCAGAAACCAAAAAAATCATTTCTTACCGTATTCTAAAAAAAAGAAATTATGTGCAACCCAATGTTTGCGCGGTCGCTGCACTGACATGTTCTACCCTTAAATAAATGGGACCGACCATAGAAAAGTGATGTATAATATGCAACATAAGACAAGCAAATATTGAAAAGAAAAATGTACAAAAATTTAGAGTGATGTTACGAAATGTTTACAAAATATTTATCAAATACCAGTTTTGCACTGATGCATGAACATCACTTTTGTATGGTCTGACCCAAATACTATTCAAACATGCATGTATCGTAATAAATCTTTCATTTATATTTACTATTATTTAACGACTTATTGCATTGCATACACTTGCAGAAGTCGGAAAAATATTTATAATTTATAATTAATGTAGGAGGAAAAATGCACTAATAATGCAAGCCGTAGCTTGTGAAGAAATATTTTAGGACGATTTAGACAAACAATTACCGGTTTAATTGTTGATGAAAATCATGAAAACTTCGCGGAGTTTATTGAAACGAAACCTTAAGGCTTCCATGGAAAATGCGTGGCAGCAATCATTGAAAACAAAAATTCATATTGGTCACAATTTACGTACGAAACAATAATGAAGAACGCCTGTCTCGAGTATACCAGAAAATTGTATATTTGGGGGACCGGGACAAGTTGGCATGCCGAATGTATTATATGACAATGACTCGTCAATGGCGGCACAAGAGCAATTGGTATAAGCTGCTACAGGCAACATGAAAGCTGTCTAACAATATACGGGTATGAAGCTATTCTTGTGTATTATACAACTTACATTTGTCATATTTATCATCAGCATCTTAATAGACAACCAATGATGTACTCGCAAAAAGGGTGCAGATTTTGAGAATGCAATATATCCCCCCAGCTGTAGAAATTATATGAATAAATATATACCCAACGTCATAAATATCTAAAAGAAGAAAAATTATATTTTTTCGTCATAGAAACAATGACATGATTGTAGGAATAAATTCTGCAATCCCCATGGAAAAAACGGAAATGAGTTTCATTCAAATGTGAAAGCCATTCACGGTATGTTATTATAAAATACAAAATTACGCACGCAACATGAATCATATATATGACATTTATACGTGTTTCATAATTTAAACTTTCTTTTTTTTATCATATAGAAATTAAATCGTAACAACAGGTGAATGCCAAATAGACCATGCATGAAACAAAACCAACTCTGTTGTCTAAATCGCGGGAAACAGAAGACTAGAAGACGTACACCATTGATATAACACTAATTAAATTCAAATAGCAATTATTTAAAGCTATATAGCTTTTCTCAATGTTTAAAATCGGCATGTTCAACGAGTTACGTCATAATGTGGGATACGACTATTTCACATGCCGATTGACGTCACACCAGGCATGAATAAGAAACCAACAATCAGTTACGGCGGGATAATAATTCTTCACATGTTCAACCTTATTATATAATAGTTAATAAAACTACATTTACAATATTTTATAACTAATATCAAATAGGTAATCTAAATAACTATTTATTAAAAATAACTTCTCAGCCTCTTCTCAGTTTGCTAATAGTGTAATTGGAATCAGTAATTGATTTATAAGAAACGCGCGAGCAAATATGTTTTTTGACGTAACCCACTTTCATGTTACGCATTGTTTGAAAGAGCATATTACTACGAACTAAATACGGAGATTTGAAGAAATTCTATAGAATAGCGGCTGAGAAAATTGCAATATATTAAGACATGCCTGCGCATTAGTAAGAGTAAAAAACGCGAAAAGACTACTCGTTAAACAATCGCAATTTTCTCAGCCTCTATTCTATGGAACTTCACTATACTTTCGTAAATAGTACAGAATGACACACTCTTTTAGGAGGTTTCTAAGGTTTAAGTGATTCCTCTTTCGAAATGTAAGAAATTCTGTCTCAAACACAACCGCACCAAAGTGTGAAGTACGCACGACATTCGAGACGTTTCATTTTAAGACAGAATTTCATTGTTTTCTGGCGTAACCCACTTTCATGTTACACATGGTTTGAAAGAGCATATTACTTCACACTAAATACGGAGATTTGAAGAAATTCTATAGAATAGCGGCTGAGAAAACCGTGATTCTTTAGGAATAACTGTTGCCCGGCTTTGCTGCGCCCTAATTGGAATTAGTAATTACTTATAAGAAACGCGCGAGCAAACATGTTTCATTTAAACACGAAATTTCATCGTTTTTTGGCGTAACCCACTTTCATGTTACGCATTGTTTGAAAGAGCATATTACTACGAACTAAATACGGAGATTTGAAGAAATTCTATAGAATAGCGGCTGAGAAAATTGCAATATATTAAGACATGCCTGCGCATTAGTAAGAGTAAAAAACGCGAAAAGACTACTCGTTAAACAATCGCAATTTTCTCAGCCTCTATTCTATGGAACTTCACTATACTTTCGTAAATAGTACAGAATGACACACTCTTTTAGGAGGTTTGTAATGTTAAAGTGATTCCTCTTTCGAAATGTAAGAAATTCTGTCTCAAACACAACCGCACCAAAGTGTGAAGTACGCACGACATTCGAGACGTTTCATTTTAAGACGGAATTTCATTGTTTTCTGGCGTAACCCACTTTCATGTTACACACGGTTTGAAAGAGCATATTACTTCGAACTAAATACGGAGATTTGAAGAAATTCTATGGAATAGCGGCTGAGAAAATTGTGATTCTTAAGGAATTACTGTCGCCCGGCTTTGCTGCGCGCTAATAGGTATTATTAATTAGTTTATGAGAGACGCGCGTGCAAATATGTTTGATTTCAAGACGGAATTTTATACATTTCTAGGGCCAATCCACTTTCATGTTAAACATTGTTTGAAAGAGCATTTTACTTCGAATTAAATACGGAGTTTTGAAGAAATTCTATACAATAGCGGCTGAGAAAATTGCAATATATTAAGACATGCCTGCGCATTAGTAAGAGTAAGAAACGCGAAAAGACTACTCGTTAAATAATCGCAATTTTCTCGGCCTCTATTCTGTGGAACTTCACTATACTTTCGTAAATAGTACATAATGACACACTCTTTTAAAAAGTTTGCAATGTTCAAGTGATTCCTCTTTCGAATTTAACGATTTAACACCAAATTATCTCCGTAATTTATTTGAATTCCACAGCACAGGATACAATTTGAGAAACTCTGAAAATGCTTTATTTGTACCAAAACCGCGAACAAATTATGCTAAACGAAGTTTTAGTTATAGTGGCGCGGTGTTGTGGAATGAGTTACCTCAAAATGTACGAGCATTATGCTCTCTTAACCAATTTAAAAGGGAGATTGACAACATTTTTCCCTATAAAACAGACTCTCGCACGGCAATCTTGTAAATCAGTTTATATATCTGTATTTTAAATTGTATTGTATTGTGTTGTATTTAGTAATTTTGTCCCTAAATATCTAATGAATGTATATAATTATAGCCCACTTTTTATACTGTAGATTTTACCGTGCTTAAATAAAGTTTTGATTGATTGATTGATTGATTGATTGAAATGTATGAAATTTGTTCTCAAACTCAACCGCACCAAAGTGTGAAGTACGTACGACATTCAAAACGTTTGATTTCAAGACGTAACTTTTTTTGACGTAATCCACTTTCATGTTACACATTGTTTGAAAGAGCATATTACTTCGAACTAAATACGAAGATTTGAAGAAATTCTATAGAATAGCGGCTGAGAAAATTGCGATTCTTTAGGAATTACTGTCGCCCGGCTTTGCTGCGCGCTAATAGGTATTATTAATTAGCTTATAAGAGACGCGCGTGCAAACATGTTTCATTTCAAGACGGAATTTTATATATTTCTACGACCAATCCACTTTCATGTTACACATCGTTTGAAAGAGCATATAATTCTCTACTAAATATGAAAGTTCAAAGGATTTCTATGGAATCGGGGTTGAGAAATTTAGGAAATTGTTCTTTGCAGCGCGAATTACAAAATTAGCGATAAAAATGTTGGTACAAAATCTCTTTTTTTGGGCACATTTTACGTTGATTCCGCCTGTTTTGTCACGAGGTATAAAGTCTAAGCTCCAATTGATCGATTTAGTGCATTATTCCTTTTAATAAATGTTTGGAAAGGGTTTTAAACAGTATTTGAATTTCGAACGTTTGAATGATGGAAATGAGTCGTACGGTGTTTTTGAATGTCGTGTTGATTATCGTGTTGAATGTCGTGTTGAATGTGGTGCGTACTTCACAGTGGTTAATTTATATCCTATTCTATTTGCCACAAATATAATATCGTGCGCAAACGTAATTGTCAATTCGATCTAAATTATAAGAAATTATGAATATATATATATACATAAAGAAATGCGGATTAAAGATTATTGAACACACATGCAGTAATAATTATATAAGTGATAGAAGTTAAGCCATGCACTAAGGGAGCGAATTATAAAGTAAGATTATATATCAAAATAGGGTTTTATTTCCTGCTGACTTCCGGGTGTTTTCACAGAAGTGACAGAACTGTGATGACGATGAAGTGGATATAATTATTTTGATCTTATTTTGCCCCTTTCTCGCAAAAAATATTATGTCACTTAGCTCTTCTTGCTGTCATATTGAATATTTCGAAACAAGGTAAAGGAAAATACCTTTGAACCCCTAAGCTGTTTAAAGCTACCCTTGCTACCTAGTACTTGTCACAGTTTCGTTTAACAGTGCATGCTATCACAACGTCGCTGTGTTAGCTATGGAAGCGCTCTGAAGTAAATTGAGAATTTTATTTACTCACATAGTGCTAAATCGATTGATTTACACGGATTTATTAAGTCTTAAAATCTAGCCCCACAACAGACTTGTTCTTGTATAATAAAACTTTTTATTTTGAAAAATATAAAAATCTTTTCACGCGATATTGCAAGCCAAGCCGCTCTGAGACTGAGTGAAAAATGACTTGTAGGAATCTTCAATCACTATTGTTACCCAGACCAGATGCGCTCAAAGGTGGATTTCAGAGACCGCGCAGCCTGTTTAAAAGTTGGGGGGGGGGGCGGGTGGGGGCTCGGGATTCAAAATATACTTGCTCGCGCGTCTCTAAATTTGTTGTGGCGCCCAGACTTGAGATGCATAGCATAGCTTTGAACGTACAGGAGTCAAACAGAGTCCGACGAACCGAGATAGATTTTATATCCAGTGTAGATCTCCTAACGTATCCGAGCATTCTCGTTGATTGAGCACATTGGTCTTAAAGCTATCCAACAGTTTTTCCTCAAAACTTTGTTGTTCAAGCTCTAAGCACCAGCACTTTCTAAAATAGTATTTATTGGTAATCCTTGCCGTGCTGCAGCCGACGTCGAAGCTGATCTAGTGCTGTGTGCTCCATAAATATTCGTATCTATACCAGCCTGTGCCAAGGTCGTTCTAATCCATCGTGCGATCGTATCCTTGCTTGCAGCGTTGTGAGGTTTTTGGTGGGTGATAAACAAAGCAGATTCATTTTGCCGAATACCTTCTGTGGTCTTCAGGTAAGCTTTCAGGCATAGAACCACACATATTTGTGGGTCAGGTAGATAAGCTCGTAATTCGATGGGCTTCAGATGTATCCCAGGTCTAGAGTGCTTTTACTAATGAAAAATGTGCATTTATTTTCCTCCTGTGACATACTGTTTTCTTCTATGGATAACGCGCATGAAGTGTTTGGCATCTTTGCCCAGTGCTCAGAATACCAATAAGTACTGCCAGCTTACAGGTTAGTTCTTTTAGATATTTTATCATACTCCGGTAACTCAACAAACCATAAGGGTCCCATGTTTTATTATGTCTCGGCAATGACGGTTTGTCTTCAAAGACGCCTTCAATAGCCGCTTGACCAAGGGATGTTTCCCAAACGATGTGCCATCAGGGAGTGTTAGTACACTTGATAGTGCACTCCGTGCGGTATTCACGGCGTTGTAACCAACCTTATCAGCGAGCTCTGCAAGAAAATTTACCCCGACAGAGATAGGTGCTGAAATTGGATCACACCCCTGCGGTTTTACAGTATAGTGCCCAGTCTTTAAGGTATGTGTTATATTGTTTTTGTGTGCCTTGGCGCCAAGCTTTGAGCATAAGGGTGGTAGCTTTTTCAAAAATGCCCGTCTCATGAAGGCTTTTCCGGATACATGACATGCCACCAGTGGGAGAATTTCCTCTGGGTAACATGGAAGGCATAAATTGTTTTTCTTTGGTGGTATTCGTAATGGATGTTGGATCAGCATCCTCATCAAAGCTGGGTACCACACTTGAGTTGGCCAGTTCGGTACCACTGAATAGCACTCCAGTGGCTTCCTCCTTTTCGATTTTCTGTATTGTTTGGGTGATCACACTAGATGCTGGGAAAGCGTAGAACATTATGGGCTGCCAATTTAAAAAAAGGGCGTCTACAGCTATACATTCTGGATCTGGTCTATATGAAACATACAGTTTGCACTGGGTGTTATGCCGAGATGCAAACAAATCAACCTCTGGTTGATAATTAAAGGTCTTAAGTGCACTGTTAAGCAATTCCTTGTTCAACTGCCATTCTTTCCCTGTGTGTACCCGTCGAGACTCGTAGTCAGCAGATTGATTGTCTACCCAAGGTATATGTGCTGCAGTAAGCTAAATTTTGTTCTCACCACACCACACCCAGATTTTTCTGGTCAAGGTATTGCAACCATCTGAATGACTAGTGCCCATGTGATTAATGCAAGAGACCGCTGTTGTATTGTCGCACATAATCTTAACATGTTTCCCTTCAATATTAATGCGAAAAGCCTTAAAACAGTACCAAATGGCAAGTAATTCCAGTTAATTAATATAGTGCTTAGGTTCTGTTGGTGTTCAGTTATCACCAGTCCTAGTCTGGCCTTCAATAACTCCACCCTAGCCCTTATTACTAGCATCAGTGAACACTGTTATGTCTGGTAAGCACCTGTTGATTATATTGTATGCAGATGGAATGTTGTTAACCAACCAATCCAACTCCTTTTTTTGCATTTGCAGTCAGGGTCATTTTCCTTCATAGTCACCCTTACATTGTTTTAGGGCTAGAGATTTTTCCCCCTCCATGGTTCGGTAATAAAGAGGTCCAAACATAACCCCAGGGAAGCCTGCCACCATATAGCCAATCATTTGTGCAACATTACGTATTGATGGTGTTTTAGACTGCATTAAGATTTTACATTCCTTAACTAGCCGAGTTGTTTTTTAAGGGGTTAGCTTGATAGTCATGTCAATTGAGTTTAGTACAAACCCAAGAATAAGCAGCGTTTGTGTTGGTTGAAAAACTGACTTTTCAGAGTGAGCAACTAACCCCAAAGAGTGAATTAGATTAACTGTCTCATTAATGTTAGCTTAACACTCCTCTTTAGTGTCCCCTTGTAAGTGTATGTGTAATCAATGTAAGATGCTGATATGTGACCCTTTTTCCTTAAAGTGGCAAAGACTGGCTTCATTAATTTAGTGAACAGGGCAACATGCCAGCCCATTCGGGAAACAAATAAAGTTGTAATATTGATTGTTCCAAGAAAATTTTAGGTATTTTTGATGCTCTTTTGCTTCTGGACATGAATAATAAGCATCTTTAAGGTCAACTGATGCCATCCAGCAATTTTCCTTTACCAATTTAATAATGGAGTGCAAAGTCTCCATTTTAAAATGGTGGTAAGTCATATTTTGATTCAGACTTTTTAAATTCAAAATAAGCCTATGTGAACCATCTTTTTTAGGTCGCAGAAAGTTTTGAGATATGAAGTCATGGCCTCGAACCATATCTAAAATTTCTGGGTCAGATTTCCCATTGATGCACAAAATTAGAAATCTGGCCTGCTTTAAAACATTTTACTTTATGCAAAGCCATTTCTTTTATGCGCTGACTATTCATATCAATATTCCTGCCATAGGGTAGACTTGCCTATAAATAATTTGTTTGAGAAGTTAGAGTTGTCTTGCATCCTTCTTGGAGGGGTATTTCTTCCTTACTCTGCCTTTCCGGCGACCGCCCCGAAAAAATTCCCGAGGTCTATAGTTATTATATCTGCGTGATCCTGATTAAATGACTGCGAGGAGCTGGTCCTTTCAAACTTATGGTAGTTGGAGCTAACTTTACTACCAAGTACCAATAAGGCTAGTTTCCTTCAGATCTTTCATTTCTTTCTGAAGGTCACCCCCAAAAAGGAGGGATGTGACTGGGTGATCAAGATTACACAGATTTTTGTAATTCGCATGTAATGTAGGGCGCATAAGTTCTCGTCTTAGTAGTGATAAGTTCGTATTAATAGCGAGCTTTAGCAGTGACTACGAGTATTACTACGAGTACGAGATTCGTCATTCTCGCGCGTTGTTTGCTTACGCCATCAGTCAAAACTCGTAGTCGTTGGGCTTTCGAGTACGAAGTTTATCAAAAGACTCGTACTTAAATGCCCGGCGACTACGAATTTTGACTGATGGCGTAAGCAAACGACGCACGAGAATGACGAATCTCGCACTCGTAGTCGTACTCGTAGTCACTGCTAAAGCTCCCTAATATGACCAAGCATTGCAGCTGCATCTGCAACATATCGTATAATTTTGAGATGTGTCTAAATCAGTTGAGTTTTGGTCCTTACAGGCTGCATCCAAAGTACAAGCAAGGCTAGCACGCACCGCAACAACACATGTTTTTTGGATGTTTGTAATCTTAACATCGTTGCGTCTTTGGTACGATTCCAGTGCCATATTATTCATGCTTTCTTGTATTTGCTTTATCAGATTATACATCGGATCAGGTACGCTAGTTGACGCTCTCTCAGAAACTAAGCTGTACTCGTTTGGTGCATCACTAAGCAGCTCGTTCTCGTCAATCTCGACCTCTTTCGCTGTCGACATTTCTCGCGTGAGCTTTTACCATCTATTAAAAATTTGGCTAAGTAATGTTTCGTTATTGTATGTATTGTCGATCGCATCCAGCCACGTACCTCGGGTTTTTGCCCTGAGGTTGTATTTTTAAGTAAATTTGTTGGTTAGCAAAGGCAACACGTATTGTTTTTGTGAAACGCAATTCGCAATGGTGGATTCGCATTCGCTATCTCATATTATTTCGTAGTGACTTCACTATGACGAAATAGAAACATAATTAGAGAGCATCATTGATTTATGCTTAATACAAACAGACTCATAACTTCCTGTAACCATGTATTGTTTATATCGGCCTTGTTTATAGTATAGGCATCAATCTGTAGCCTAGAAGTGCATTTAGGCTATGTACAGATCAGACACGATTTTCTGCAGATTATTAATTTTTTCCAGCATATAAATTTTGTCGTAAGATTTTTGAGAACTACTTAACGATGGTACATTTTGACTGCTCTTGTGTCCATTAGTGGGCCAGTTTTCATTGCCCGAAAAGAAATTCGGGAAGTGTTTTTTCGATTTATATTCCTTATGAAATCCCACTCCTGACACCATATTTCGACAGACGCCATTTTATATTTACATATGAACACATGTTCACTGATCCCAAACCTTTAACTGGATACATAAGAAATTCACTTCATTTCATATCGTTTCATTTTCAAAATCCTATTTAGTTTTGTTATTGAACAATTCCGCTTAATAAATGAGCCTAGAAGCTACCGTCAAATCCAGGGGCGGCGGCATTTTTTTAGGGGGGGGGGGGAGGGGGGTGAGGGGGCCTAGGGGGGAAGCGGCTGCATTAAAAAAATTCATTTTGTATATACAATGCAGCAGCTGGTTATGTTGATTTTTGTTTCTTTCAGTTCTGTGCTTAGGAAATTTGCTGAATGGGTGAAGCAGCTTCAGCAGCCGGAGATGCTCTGCGTATTGCAGCAAATGCCGGGATATTTAACATCGATATTAGCACTACCAAAGTAGAAGTGGCACGAGAGTTGTGTGATATAGCACGAGAAGTTGGCAACACAGTGGGGCATGGAGTGGGACAGGGATTGGGACTAGGAGTTGGACTAGGTCTGAGTCTAGGCGCCCTGTATTTTGGTTATCCAGCATTGAAGTCAATAATTCACAATGCAATTACTAAGGGTGTTGGTGGAAAACGCGATGATCAAGACGTTCGTGACATTCGAAAAGGAAGTTTGCGTTTCGAGTTACATTGTTTCACAGACATCAGGTTTCTGGAAGTATTGGCGGATTACGAATCAGGAAGGATGAAGGAACGATTGCAGGAAGAACTTTCTCGGGTTGGAATTAGAGTGGAAGGACTGAAGGTGAAGATTGAAAATATGGAGGAGGTGAATGAAAAAAAGAAAGCTAATTGGAGGTAAATGATAAAGGTTTATATTATTAGAAACTTAGAAAGATATCTTTATATTATTCGGCATTGCAGAGAGCATAGGCTGCATAGCAGTGGCGTAGCCAGAACGATAATTGGGCCAATATTGATATATTCATGCTACGAGTGTGATTAATTTCTTATCAAGTCCATTACCTTCATATCTGTTGAGATGAATAAATGAAGATGGCTTCCTAATCATTGACGCTGGCGACGCCACTGAAACATAGATTTATCGTCTTCACCGCTGCCTTTCGAAAAACGGGGCGAAAACAAACCCTAGTTCAAGCTGGTCATGTGATTCGTTTGTTACGTTTCTCCCGTGCGGGGATGAGTGGAACACAAACAGCGCATCAATCACAAATCACATCTGGTTAAAACAGACGTGTTCTTAGGTCTGTAACACTATCGAGCTCATATCGAGCACACCTGTTTCGACGCAATAGCAGATAAAATTTAACGAGGATCTAAAGTTATGATATTTCGGAAAATTTTTTTTGGCCCGGATGTGCTGGCGGTTTTCCAACAGGTCATGAGAAATTGCTAATGTATCAGGTTCTACCGGTGCTGTTGTACTGCAAAGCGAAATAACCTTAATAAACCGTTAAAAGTCGAAATAAACCGTTAAAAGTCCTAACCACATTCACCTTTCCCTCTAATGCATTGAAAAAATTACAAATATATCCCATATTTATGAAATATAACCTAGAAGACCGTCCATGACGTGAGTTGCATAATGGCGGACGAGGGTGTAAATATCCAAGCGGAATTAGTACCCTGACCCACTCTTGAGAAATCTCCCAAATTTCAGGAGATTTTGCGTTGTAACAGGCAGCCTGAAAAAGGGTTTTTGTTGCAGGGTAGGCCGTGTGAGGCGTAGATAGAAAAGCCTGGCTGGTGAGATTGAACATAACATTAAAGGGATATGGCAATTAAAATTGTTTCTTATTTATCTTCCTTACTTGGCAAGATATTGGCGATCACAAGCATCGGCTATCGAGATATAGGCCCTGTCTACACTAGTGCGTTTTCGTTTGTATGCGGTTTCGCAAGACCGAAAACGCATCGATCGATTCGCGTTCACACTACCGTTTTCGTAGCGTATTCGACTGTTCACACTAAAACGCTTGAATACGATGATCGGATCGTAGTCTGACGTAAAACGGTAATTTGCGCATGCTCGGCAGTACACACTTCCTTAATAATTTTTATCCCTAAATACCGAAATCTTCTAGTTGCTCTGCAAGACCGATTTTTTGCTCGAATTGGACCTGGAGAACGCCCAGATAAAATGTATGTTCGTAAGACAGCTATTTGTCTTCGGTGTAAAGCCATCATGGCGTTATACAACGCAACATTTAACTGCAAACAAACAATTATGTTTGCTAGAAGCATGAGAAACTCCATATCGTGTCGTCCGTCATGTTTGGTTGGAATTATGCCGCGGATAACTGACTTAAGACCTGAAATGAGTGGCAATCACTGGTGGCAATCGATGCGTGTGACGTAATCGTTTTCAAAAGTATCGTCTTCAAGTGTTCACACTAATACGATATGTATGCGTTTTCATTTGTATTCACTTTCAACAGCGTATTCAAATCGATGCGTTTTCGAACAATACGCTGAGCGTATTCGAGCGTATTAGTGTAAACGGAAGGCCTAAACGCATCGAAATGTATGCGTTTTCAAACGAAAACGCACTAGTGTAGACAGGGTCATATTCTCCACCTTGTTTTATAATGAGATCTAATTACGTGACGCCAAAAGCAGGGTTGACGCTTAAGAATAACAACTACAAGTTTACGCTTTTGTTTAGAACTCTAACAATTTAAACGCTATAATTTGAGCTACGCGAGAATGTAATACCATGAGACTATGGATGACAATTTCATTCGAAAATAACTTCAGAATAAAGTTTGTAAATATTTTGTGAATTTTGTAAATAATTATGACGTTCTTTTAAAATAGACGAAGATAATTTTTATCACCGTATCCCTTGCACTAAGTCTTTGTTTAAGGTTATTAGTCCGGCGTCAGCGACGGAGTTGAAAGTTCGCCGGGGTTTGTTTTTTTTGGGGGTTTGTTTTTTTTTAAAAATTTTTTTCGCTGTCGCAAGTGTGTTTTGGCGCGAAATATACTAGTATTTGAAAAGTGTATGTGAGTAATGTGACCGTATTTAACTACGTCACAGTTTTATCTCCCAACAGTTGTGGTGCACAGCTCGAAATTTTTGGCTAATTGTCCGATGCGCGATTTGATTTCGCTCGCATGATACGGCAATTCCTCCAAGAGGAAGTTCGAAGAGAACCGTTCTTTTGATGCTAATGACATGATGATAACTTCACTGGTCCTATTTTAATAATATCGCTGCTATTTCGCCGTTTAACAAGATGTGGTCGTGTATGTGCGCGTTGAAACGCGTTTGCACAGGATTGAAATTTTAATATAAGCGCGAATACGTTTTTTACATTTTTGAGCAATTGAACTTCTATACTTTTTAAAGTGCGATGTGCTTCTGAATGTCGCAATCGAACAACATAGGTTCGTAAGGCATCTAAATGAGTATGAACATTGTTATGTTCAAAAGCTTGAAGGTTTATATTGCAGGAAGACTGGCACGTGTAAAGCACGCCGGGGTTAACGCCAGAACAGGCGTCTTGTTCACATTCGATTTGGCAGATGAAGTTGATTGTGTTTTTATTGTGTTTTTTTTGATGCTACACAGTCGCAACTTGTTAAAAAGCAACAACCAAATGGAACTGACCTAGATTAAAAGCTAGGAAGGCAAATTTCGAACAATGCGCAGGGAGAATGAGCAATTGCGTTTCTTACAATATCCTTTTATGTACATTAATACAAGCATCATTGTTTTGTTGCAAAATACAGATCTTATTTAACGAAGGTGCTTGACGAGATGACGAGCAATGACATGAGGGAGCTTAGCGAGATGACGAGTGATATCAGTATGGATGCTGTTGATAGTAAGGGGTTAAAATATCTTCAGGTAAATATATCTTCATGAGAAAGACAGCAAAAAGGTAACAGATTTTTTAGCGCACAATGCGTGACGGTAATTGATTATCTAAGTCTTTCTGAGTGCGATATCACTGTGTTCAAAAGCGATTTAGTTTAAAAGGAAGTCTTGCTAAATTACGTCACTCCCGAAAATGGCGGTATCATAAAGTTTCCTATCCATCAAACAAAACAATGTAAACAACACGATAAAACCGAAACAAAATACGGCTTGAGTTTCTGAAAAACCTTTGAAAAAAGGGTACGCGAATGAACCAAAGTAAAAACATACTCAAATTTTTCTTCAAAAAGCATACTCGATTTTTTATGCCTATTTTTCACCCGCTAGAATTCCATCGATCTATTTGCCGTAATTGAAGATACTTTTTTCTTTATAACATTATTTCACATCTTTATTGGTTGATATACGGACACTCCCGTATCATAAAGTTTCCTATCCATCCAACAAAACAATGTAAACAACACGATAAAACCGAAACAAACTACAGCTTGAATTTCTGAAAAACCTTCGATGAAAAGGTACCCGAGTGAAGTTAAAATATACCCAATTGATGCTTGGTTTTATACCCCTTTTAAAGAATTTTGCGAAAGTTGAGTTACGAACAGTCATGTTCAACTGCGTGACAACCCACAAAACTGACACTTTTCCAATAAATATGTGGTGTTTTGTTGTTGAGCTCCTAAGTCAATAAAATTAGCTCAAGGTTGAGATATATATAATAATAGTAATAATAATAATAATAATAACCGTACCTGGAATTTTTTCCCATACCCCAGGCGCGGTATTTCTCATCCGGACCTCGTGCCTGGTATATGAAGTTTATATACGTACATTTGAAAATTTCTAGAGGGAAACAAATAATGCTGACACGGCCGAAAGCCTCTACGAAAATGGGGTCCCACGAGACGAGATGAAAGTTTACAAGTCAACTTTAGAGTCGCATCGTGAAGCTCTGAAAGTCAGTTTGGAACAGCATGGAGAGGATCATCCTGCAACAGCTGACATTTACTACAACATTGGAATGACACAACAAAAGATGAAAGATTTCAAATCTGCATTAGAGTCGGTAAAAAAGTCTCTTGCGATCAGAACCAAACTATTTGGAGATGACCATCAAGACACAGCTAACAGTTATCACAGCATTGGGGTCACACAACATAAAATGAAAGATTACAAGCCAGCATTGGAATCAAAACAAAAAGCTTTTGAAATTAGATCACGGCTATATGGAGAAGACCATCCAGACACAGCTGACAGTTATAACATCGGAAAAACACAACATAAGATGAGAAATTACAAATTAGCATTAGAGTCAAAAGAGAAAGCTTTTAAGGCCAGGTGGAAATTATTTGGAGAAAATCATCCTGCAACAGCTGACAGTTATAAAAGCATTGGAGACACACAAGATGAGTTAGGAGATTACACGTCAGCATTGGAGTCGAAACAAAAAGCTCTGATATCAGATTAAAATTATACGGAGAAGATCATCCTGACACAGCTGACAGTTATAACAACATAGCAATAACATATCATTCTATGAAAGATTACAAGTCACACATTAGCATCAGAAGAAAAAGCTCTTCAAATCAGATTAAAGCTATATGGAGAAGATCATCCGACAACAGCTGACAGCTATGGGAGCATTGGAGGCACGCAAAGGTCAATTGGAGATTGCAAGAAAGCATTGGAGTTGGGAAAAAGTCTCTAAAATTACTTTAAAACTGTTTGGAGAATACCATGCTGACACAGCGGACAACTACCACAGCATTGGAATAACACAGATGAAAGGGAGATTACAAGTTTGCATTAGAATTGAAGAAAAAGCTCTTGAGATCAAATTGAAGCTCTTATGGAGAAGATCATCCTGAGACAGTTGAAAATTATATTCAGCATTGGAATGACACAGAGTAAGATGGAAGATTATAATCTGCATTATCATCGGGAGAAAAAGCACTTGAAATTGGAAGAAAACATTTTGGGGAAGATGTTTCACTCACAGCTCTCATTCATAATTTTTATGGAATTATGAAAAACATGATGGAAGATTACAAGTCAGCATTAAAATCGGATCAAGAAGCTCTTCAAATGAGATTGAAACAATATGGAGTAGAACATTCTATGACTGCCCTCAGTTATGTCAGGATTGGGGAGACACAGCATGCAATGGGAGATTACAAATCAGCATTAGCGTCCAAGCACAAAGCTCTTCAAATAAGAATAAATCTATATGGAGAGATTCATCCTGACACAGCTGACAGTTATCACAGCATTGGTGAACACACACACGAGTTGAAAGATTACGATTCAGCACATTAAAATCAAAGAAAAAAGCTCTTCAAATCAGATTAGAAATATATGGTGAAGATCATCCTAAAATAGCTGAAAGTTATTATAAGATTGGAATTACATACATGGAGATGAAAGATTACAAATCCGCATTGGAGGCGGAGGAAAAGTTCATGAAATCAAGTCAAAACAGGATGGGAGAAGATCAATCCGACACAGCTGACCATCATTTGAACATTGGAATCCTACATTTTATGATGGGAGATCACAAGTTAGCATTAGAGTCGGGACAGAAATCGCTTAAGATCAGAAAAGAACATAACGAATATCATTCTGATACAGCTAATAATTATGAATTCATTGGAACCATACAAAAAGAGATGAAAGATTACAAGTCAGCATTAGAGTCAGAAGAAGAAGCCCTTAAAAGACATCATACCTGTATGGAGAATACCACGATGCGACAGCCAGGAGTTATCACAACATTGGAGTTATTCAGCATTGGATGGAGAATTACAAGTTAGCATTAAAATCAAAATTAAAAGCTCTTAAAATCCGAGAAAAACTACACGGAGAGATCATCCCGATACACAGACAAGAGTTATGACAGCCTTGGAATCACCTATCACATGCTGGGAGATTACAAGTTAGCATTGAAGGCAGAACAAAAAGCTCTTGAAATCCGAGAAAAAAGAGGTGGTGAAGAAGATTTCTCTGACACATCTATTAATCATGTCAACATTGCGATTATACAACATAGAATGGGAGAATATAAGTCTGCATTAAATTCAGGAAATAAAGCTCTTGTTATTAGATTAAAAAATGAAAAAGATGATCCCATCACAGCTGATATTTATAACTTCATTGGAATCGTACAAAGAGATATGGAAGATTATAAGTCGGCATCAGTGTCCGAAGAAAAAGCTCTCGAAATCAGATTAAAACATGAAGACGATTCCGACACAGCTTTCAGCTATCACATGATTGGGGAGACAAAACGTGAAATGGGAGAGTACAGCCTCGCATTACAGTCGGATAAAAAAGCTCTTGAAATTCGATTAAAACTATATGGAGAATATCACTCTTGCATAGCTGACAGTTATAGCCGCATTGCAATCACACAGCTTGCGATGGGAGATTACAGGTCTGCAATAGATTCGAAGAAAAAAGACCTCGAGATCAGATTGAAGCTACCTGGGAAAGATGATTCTGATGACATAGATGAGATTTATGCGAGGCTTTTGAGCCTGGAAGATGAGATAGAAGATTTCAAATTAGAATTGGTCGCGAAAGTTCTTCAAGAAATACTTGAAGAAGATCACTCTGATACGACTGAAGCGTTTCTGAAACACTGGAATTACACAACACGAGATAGAGGAACTACACCCAGCATTATAGGTTATTGAGCTAAAAATGCAATGAGAGCCCAGTTGGGAATTTGAGCATAATTAAAATTAATACTACATAAAATTACATAAAACGTAAGCTTGTTTAGGACAAAAATCAAACATTGCGCTGAGATCTAATTTGCATTGTTTGATGCAGTCTCATTTCTAGGATTCGTTAAAACATTTCTTAAGCCAAGTTACACTTTATTAAACGTTTAATATTTTTACGATGTACTTTGAAAAATAGGATTTGCTGTTTGAAATCTCCATGTCTGATCACAGAAGATTTGAAAGTGCAAACCGGGCCTTAACGTTACGATCCGAAGTGTTTGAGATGGTAAATCAATGAGGGGAAGGCGTCGTTCGGATACCTTCGTCGACTAGAAGTTGAAAATAATTAAGAGTTGTCGATGCATATACTTTGACAAGGTGGAGCAAGTTAATTCATCGAAGTGATCGAACTCTAATGATTATAGTCTCGAACTCTAATGATGGATCGAACTCTAACGATCATGAATTTGATCGAACTCTAATGATTATGGTCTCGAACTGTAATGATGGATCGAACTCTATATATATATATATAACGATCATGAATTTTAGCATCGTATCAAGTGCATATGATTTTATAGGACTCGGTGGGTGATATAATTTAATGTAACTGGGAGCTTCTTTCAGTAAAACTTCATTTCTTATTTGCCCATGAGCAAAAAGTAATTAATTTTTTAGAGAGATAGGTGCCGGATACTTTAGATTAAAACTTTTACCAGATAGATAATAGAAAGATTTCTTTAATACGTCAAGTGACGCGAAAATTTCCTATAATGCATGGTAATCGACACTTTATAGTAATATACTGTATAAATAATCATTGTTTCTGTAATTTTAAAATGCAATAGTGGATTACTAGTGTAGTTAGTATATTTGTACCTAGTTATAGTTGGTATATAATCGGAAGCTGGAGTAGCTTATTTAGTAGCACCGTACCTAATGTAATGTAGTAGCACCTAATGATTGATATACACCTAATGAATATATACATTTATATATGCCGTGCTATATACCAGTATATTTATTTCCATACTCTGTATATAATTTGTATTGGGCCTACAACGTGGCACAAGGATGATATGATTATTAGATTAGAGACGATAAACACTGCTCAGCGCTTCAAATGGGTGTAACATTAGCGGCATGATCATATATATTTTATGCACATTAATCATCTTAATCTATACGTGTAGTTCTACAAATATTTTTAAATATGAAACACTTAATGCAATATAATTAATTAATAAATCTACGTTTAAATCCAGTATCCTTGTGGAAACGTCATTTAATGTACATAATTCATCTGATGTATTTATATATGATAATACCACCCACCAAAAAAGGGGATAGTATAATTGTGAATGCAAGACTATAACCAACAATGCACCTCCCCTGACGGAAGCTGCAAGGTCGCATGTTGCACTTATGTTTGTCTGAAATGATAACTAGCCTATATCTCTTAATTTTTTATAAAGGTAAGCGTTAGTCTGCATTAAATGCCAGGTTTATTGCTTGAGAGATTATACAGTTTTCTAGTAGGAGTTCCTTATTAGGATTTTTCATTAGAACTGCGATACATGTGGATTCTGTGAAACCCCAGAATTGGACGGACTAGACTACCCAGTCGAAATATGGGTATACAGTACTTTCCAGAAAAAAACTAACAGAAACCGCGGTTAACCTAGGTCAAACCTCGGTCTGATCACGGTTGAACCGAGGTCAGACCGACGTCCAACCTAGGTAAGACAGACATTCCTTAAGATATGACAGAATTGTCTGACAGACATTTCTTAAGATATTCTCGGTTTGATTATTGTGTTGTCGTTCTCAGCAGTTCATAACATTGTGTTCGATAGCGAATGGCAACTGCGATCGTTTTTTTCGTAGATTTTGTTGAAAGCAAATGCAAACATTTTATGCTAAACTAAAGCATATTAGAAAACGAAATGAAAATTATATACACCGGAAAGTCTCTTGAGCAATGTTATTCCCATATAAAAAATGTTCTGTTGCATGCATTTGTCATTATATTTTGAATAGATATCACTATTCAATCGAAAATTTGCATGCCAATTAAACGAACACACTAGCTTATAGTTTCCACAGGATTTTAAAAGCCACACAACAATAGCATTATGCTATTTATATTTTTAATTTTACCGAAAAGGCGTATCGTATATTATGATTTTTCACTTTTGTAAAATCTAATACAAGAACGCCAATAACAATAAATATATTTCTAATTAGGATGATGAGGATAATGTATCCCATCATGTGGATACTAACAGTTGTTCCTTTTAGGTTCAAGATCATTACTCTTAGTTTAGCTGTTCAATGAGTCCATAGTTTTACCGTTCCCTGGTTCCACTATTCCCAGGCTCGCCCATTCTCTGGTTCCCTTGTTACCGCATTCCCCCCTCTCTCCGGTTCTTCCACTCCCCCATTCCCTATTTTAAAGAAGCCCCACACTAGCCATACACAACATAGGTACAATTTGTTATAATCAATGGCAGTTCATGTTAAAATTTGTTTTCAATATACATGCGTTGTTATAAAAAATTGCTTGAAACGTCGAATTCAGTTTATGTATAAGATTTGCTGACTGAAAACACTAAGTGGTTCTCGTAATTATTACTATCCAAACGTCTGAATTGTAAGTCTTTCCGGTTCTTTATATTGTCCGGTTGGCGGTGTCTGTGTACTTTTGCCCGCGTATAGACACAAAAGAGACGGAATGTCACAGAACGCTTTCGTTCATCTGTATTTAACCCGTCATGTCCAGATATTTAATGACACTCGACATTATGTGGACCGGCTGTCATATGGACATGTATTAAAGCAAGTGCAGCCTTGTAGAGATATGCACTTGCAAAAGTTTCGGTAATTTACTTGTTTGTCCCGGATTGTCGATTGTATCCTCTTGTTTAGACAGTTGTGCTGCTAGATAATATTAAAAGTACCTTAGACCACAAGCCATGCAGGTAAACATTCTAACCATCCCCGGATATACACTCACATAAAAACGGCAGCATTGTGCAACTCGCCTCTTTTACGGATGGCATAAAATTTATGGACGACAAAAATATTTAAGGCATTTTAATAGCGCTTTTAGTTACCTCAATGGAATGTACTCTTGTACGTTTTTATCATTTCACAAAAATATTTTTACTGAAATTGTTTACTTTTAGTATAGAGCGACTCAAAACCGCTTTTATGTCGTGAACGTTTCAGGTGCTTGAATGCTGCTTGAAAACTATCAAACGAATTCAAAATGTTTCTTTCACTTTCAATACAAGCATATCATTAACGATAATTTCTTCCAAGAACGAGACAATAAAAGTCAGCAATGCATAAAAAAGGCATTCAATGATTCTAAAGGCTTTCATAAAACAGCTTAAAAAAAGCGTGTATACAACGTTAGCAGCTCACGTTTGTTGAAATTCCTTACAATTCACATTCGTTTAAAGTCCTCTATGAAAGTGAGATAACTTCCTTTTGCTTAACTAGTTGTTAGAAGTGTGTATCTTAGATATATAAGAACCTACACTAATTTTTTCTAAACACGATAAGGCCGAAGCAGAGGTGGTATACAATATAAATGTGTATACAATATATATTAATACAATAGTATATATTATTAAAACAGTATATATTATTACAACAGTATATAGATCTTGATCATTTTAACCTTTCTTAATTCTAGTGTTCTAGTTGCATGTTTTTATATAGTCTTAGAATAGATTGTCTATTGTATTATTCTACATTCTATATATCTTATTGTATATACTTGCATGATTCTAATATCCTATTCTGAGGGCCACAAGTTTGTCAGCCCCTGGCTGTAATGTGTTTTTACCCTCGTGAAATAAAGTCATTCATTCATTCATTCATTCAATATTCCTGAAACAAACTATATTTCTGTTAGATCTATGGTGTCATCAATATAAGTACAGTAATAGTGTGCCAAGATATCTGACGACATAAATTAAAGTTATATTAGAAACGTTGTTTAAATTATATTAAGGAAAGCACGTAGAATATACAAGACTTGATATTTTTGTGATTATCGTTATCTACAACTTGTTGAAGATGTAAAATAATGAAAGTTTTATTTAGGATGTTTCTATTATGATATTGATTCAAATTAAAAGAACTTTGCTGGAATTGTAAGCACTATTACATTAGACATCATTGGCCAGTTGTTCAAAGCTGCACGGGTTAGCGCTAACCCTGCATGGGTTTAACTTTAATACAATTTTAATCCTTAGGTTTAAGTGCTTCTGAATCGCTTTTCGTTGAAAAATCTTTCAAAAAAGATTTGCTTTAACTCAGCCCCATATAGTTGAAGTCCGTTCGGCGTACATGCTCTGCTGATAACAATCTATGTATATAAACAACATTCCAGGCGTCGCGACATAACAGTTGGAATACTAACAACAGGTTTGTCTTAGCTTCTTTTGTGATTTTCATTTTAATTAAAATTCTAGCGAAGAAGTGCCATTTTAATTTGGACTGTTGCACAGTCTGTATGAGCACAGGACTTCGCATCATTTTGAACACTATTACACTTTCTCTTGCGCAAAACACATGCCACCTTTCGTTATGTCTTCTTTAAAACTTTTTGTTAAGTACGTGGAAAATTTTTAGAATTTTAGGAATAGTTTTGCAACTACCAAACTATTACACTCCATGGTGTTTCTTACACTTACATTTTAAAGACTAATTTACATCTCTTAAAAGTAGAATTGCATTACAAGTTGCAAGAAAAATTGCACCGTGTAACATGGCCTTAACTTGATAACGCGAAGTTTCAATTGTGTTGTCATCCCCAGTCCTTACCGCTGTAACGTCGCAGATCTCAAACTTCAAACTGGACTTAAAACTTTGCACGGAGGGGCGTACCTGATTTCAAATTTAAGGCTAGGATATTTAGCCATTGAATTCATTTATCCATAAAATAATTAAGT